AGAGAGCATTAAAAGTCATTCCAAAAAAAGTATAGAAGATAATTATAAAACAAAACATAATTACAAAAGTATTATCCAATTTATTTACTGTATAATTTATGAAAGTTTATCTTTTTTTGGATACCTGATTTAACAGTTTATACATCTGTTTCTAGGAATTACTTAAATTGTTGCACTTCTATCTGGACAGAGATTTTTGTGATTAACTATGTTGTGTGCCTAACTGACAAGTACCTGTTAGAAAAAGCTGCCTTTTCTCAGAGGAAACTCATAGGAAAGAAGTCTTCCCAAAATTCAGTATGAGAGCTGACAAATACACATGCTTATCATCATTCTTCCTTCATTGCCATGAATTTAAATTTATATTAAAAAGAAAGGAGAAGTTGCATTTTTCCTTATTTCTCAGGAAGGCTTGTCAAAGACAGCATCTGCCAAGTATAGTTTTTCCACTTGGCTTTCCCATTCATTTGTGATTTTTACTCCACTCTGCATCACTCACAAGCTAGTGAGCAATGGTTCCTAATATAATGTTTTTAATAAGACTATATATTTCTCTGACTGAAATTAAGGAGATTCTTCAGGGCATTTTAGTGTGTAGAATCTATTCTTCCCTGATAGGCATTTGGTTTTTTAGTTGTTTGGGTTTTTTTTTCCACCAGAAGAGCCAATACTTAAGGAAGAAAAGCAACAGATTTCTTACAAGCTTGAACATCTATTAAAACATGTATTCTTGCTAACTCCAGTATCCCAAAGAATGAGGCAAAAGGGAGGGAAGGTTCTCTTGTCAGGTGTAGCCACCTAGTCCACTGATACTAGCATCATTGAACAAATGTAACCGAGCACTTAGGTTCTCATTTTCTCAAGATGCATCAAATACTGAAATACTGGCTAATATAGCAATGTGAGCCCTGCAGTCCCTTGTTTCTTTTTCACTTTATCTTAGTCACCTTGTTGAACCTAACAGCTCAAATTTTTTTTCTTTAAAAATACAGTCTTTCTTTGTAACATCTTTTGTGAATAATGAAAATAAATGAAGCTATGGAAAATTGACTGCCTTACCACTAACTAAGAAATAAAAGGTACTGAAGTCCTGAATGTTTTTCCCGTTTTCCAAAAAGGCTCAACCACGTTATTTTAACATTTATTCTAAACAAGTATTTTCTTTAATGTTAGGTGACATGTGAAACAGTATGACAAACCAGAATCCTAAGGTTTTTAGAAACATAAAAATACTGGCATTTCTTACTTATAAATCAGAATTCTCTCCTTTCAACTAGCTTAGCTGCATTATGGTACTTTCTATGCTCTCCACAACTGTCAGTTATTGGCTGAACTATATTGGTTTTCCTGTGCAAGTACACTGGTAGAGAAGCCAGAAATCTATCCAGACCCCTTTCATTTTCCTTTCTTTTCCTCAAAAAAAATGTAGTAAATAGATTCAGCTCCCTAAAAATGGAACTGTGGCTCCAAAACTGGCAGTTTTTTCATAGCTCTGTAACAGCTTCTGTCGTGATGGCTCAATCTCCAGCCAAAATTTGTTGTTGTTGGTTTTGCTTTGTTTTCTGGTAACAATTATCTAAAGTGGGTAGGTTTCAACAATTTAACTACTGTAAGAAACCAGTAGGCCTTTCAGTGTGGGCGTAAAAGATATTGAGGGCAGATTTGCAAATTGTCAAATCACTGAATGATAGGGTAATTTTTCATGAATAGCTGAAAATACATTCACCAAAATTCACTGAAAAGAATCCAAAGATTTTCTAAATGTGGACTGCTTGTAAACCTGCATTGAAATGTCCTCTGAGGCTCTGTGCAGCCAAGAACAATGCCTTTACATGTCAGCATTAATAATTTTCTTGCTGATTAAAGCACAAATATAAAATATTCATACTTTTAACATCCACACATTCAGCTTGAAGAAGCATCTTGTCTCACCAGAGGATGAAGCATTGAAGAACTACACTCCATTTACTTGTGTGACTGACTGTCCTTTCTATAGGCATGTTCAGTGAAAGTATCCTACTAATCATCCAGTTTCTGTTCAGTTTCTGTCAGCAAATATTTGTCCGTCATCTTCTAAATTGTAACAGAAACTGTGGTGTTTAGATCCTAGGCTATCAGTTTAAGCTATTAAGACCCGCGAAGGGTCAGGTACAAGCGTATCAGGATTTTGTCCATGAATTATTTTTTCCATCATTTTTAGCCTCCAATAGTGCCATAATTAAAAATCCTCTGGTTCTTACTGACCTCTGGCTACATTCATCAATCTGTGGGTAACTGTAGAACATGAGTGCTAAATTTCATATTCTCTCTCTCCTTTGCAAAAGCATAGGAGAAAGAAATGAGGCAATCCTGTCAAATATACTTGGTGCTGGCAAGGAAAGAGCTATCTGGAGGTACGTGCTCACGCTGCTTAAATTAAAATGAATAAATTTTCACAGAGAACGAAGCTTTCTGTTCAGACTTCTCTGCTCTTTGTTCTTCAGGCAGATGAAGAGTTGCAGGACGTCAGCCAGAGGGATAGGCACTGCTCCTGTTTTACTTAACCATTCATGGTCAAATCATCAATGTTAACGTCAGGCAGTGGTATGTGAAAGAAAAAAGTGAAGAAAGTGCTGGAAATAGTGTGGTGTCATTTAAAGTAATCATTACAATTGTAAATACCTTTTTGATTACATCATGCTTCAGATGTCTCCCTCTTACCTGGAGACCAAGAAGCTCCACAGTTCTTTGAAATGTTTGTTTTCTTAGCTGAAGGGCAAAGGGCAAGTCTGGTCTTCTGCTAGTTATGGTTATTATGATGTGCTATTTCCCTGTCAGGTATAAACATTTTTAATTGTTGTACAGAGTGGTGTTCTGGCTTTCGTACATTTCAGTGCTGTGACTTCCCATATTTGGATACTCGTGATCACTGGTATCTTAGGTTTGCTTTGATGTGGTTGTGGTTTTCTTGCTGTTTTCTTCGTTCTGTGCTTCTGACCAGTACTTCCTTTGTAATTGCACCCTCACTCTGCAGATAGTGCATGTTGGTTCTGATTTTATATGTTATGTCACATTGTTGGCAGTAGCCTTGTTGTTGCTTGTTGCTGCTTTTTGCTTTGAGCTTTCCCTTGGTATTTCAGAAGAGGGAACCCAGTACAGATTGGATTTTGTTGAGGAAAAGCGATAATCGTCTCTGGTTTTTTGATTGTATCACCTTGTAAGATGCACGCGCGCTCTCTCTCTCTCTCTCACTTTTCCAAGTATGCAGTTTTATCTTTTTAGTATTTTTCCACTCATTCATGTTTTGGACATCGCATTAGACTTTCAGGCAACTGAATCCCACGGTCCATGAACAAAATTCATGTCAAATGAATTTTTGCCTGTAAAGGCAAAATTTTATAAAATAGATTCATTTCTTTGAGTTACCTATGCTCTTGTTACCTATTTAAAAACAAACAAAAAACAACAGTTGATTATTATGTCCTTAATGGTGTTTCAAAGTTGACCGATTCCATGCAAATATATGTTGAAAACAACTTGTGCACCCATTTAACAGGTTGGTTTCTAAATTAGAGGTGTTTGTACGCTACCATACCCTTAGCTTTGAGCAGAATAAGCTTAGAAGAATTCACATGTACAACCCATTTGGGTCAGTCAGAGAATAGACTTGACAGACTCCCCTAGACTTAAAAGTTTTTGTATGTTGTAAGTGTATGCCATTTGTAGGTGTTGAACAATTCAGTAATGTGGGGACTAAGATATATTCATTCTACCAAGATCCTACAGATACTGTAACATGTTGTTTTGCTACATCTTGCAAAGTTAAGGAAAAAAAAACCGAACTACCTAGGTGGGAATTGAATCCACATTGCTTACTTTGAGACAAAAGTCCACAGTGTGGATAGGGGTAAGTTTCCCAGTGGTTCTAAAGTTAGTTAAATATGTACATTTTAGTTACAGAATGTAGGTTTTAGAGGCTTAAGATTGAGATTTTAGTTCTTATTTATATAATACTTCGTTAAAAGGCAGATTTTGTGTATGTATGTAGTATTAATTATAAGTAGATTTCATCAGTTTAGTGGTAAGCTGGACATGGTACATGCTTATGGCCTACACTTCCTTAGGGATGAGTATTAATTCTCTTGAAGAACTTTCTTATATGTTGTTCTTTGCTGGACTAGTCGCTACTTCATTAAGTGTACTACTGGGCAATTAGCCTTCATGTGGACTTACTGAAAATAATGAAAGAAGTGATGCTGTTCATCACATTTGTGCCTGCAGTTTCTTCCAATTTACTAGCAGGAAAGGTTTTCTTATGTTAGTTGTATTCTTGAAACAGTAATATGGGCAAGAATGCATTTTAAATCCTCACACCTGTGGCTTTACTATTGCGGTGCTGTGTGATCCTGTAGTGAGGTCCTCGCTGAGGTACCTTAGTGGTTGTGGATGAGGACAGTGGTGCTGCACCAGGTCACTGGGATTTCTGATGCCCGTTTGACACTTTTTGTGTCCACCTGTGCTTTATATCCTCTCTGAAACATATACGGGGAGCTGGAAGTTAGAAGTTAGGCTGGCCTTCCCTTGTTTCAGGGGAGAACAAACGCCCCTTTGCACAGCTTGCTCCTGTGCCCGTCGGGGACAGCAAGTCGTTCTTCTTCCCCCGACGTGCGGTGTGGCAGAGCCCGGCCGTGACCCTGGGGCGCGGAGCCGCCGTGCCGTGCCGTCCCGCAACACCGGGCCTCGAGCCCCGCGGTGCGAGGGCGGACGGAGCGCGGGCGGCGGGTGACCAACTCCGAGGCGGCTCCCCCGGCCCCAGCCTGGCGCTCGGCCCGCCCGGGCCCCCTCCCCGCTCCCCCCGCCGCGCACAGGCGCGCTCGGCGGCGCGGGCAGAGCGAGGGCAGCGGCCTCGGCGCGGCGGGTGCGCCTGCTCGGCGCGCGGGGCCCGCTGCGGCGCGCAGTGACGTGCGGCGGCCGCGGCGAGGCCGGCGGCGAGCGGGCGGCGGGGGGAGGGGAGCAGGCCGCGCGCGCTCGCGCCCCGCCGCCCGGCCCTGCCTGTGATTGGTGCAGGCCCGGCCCTGGCGGACCCGAATGCCAGGCCGCGGCGGCGGCGGCGGAGTCCTGCGGGCCGAGGCCTCCCCCCCTCCCCCTCCCGCCGCCCGACACCTGGGCGCAGCCCGCCGAGAGGCCGCCCGGCGCGGGGACCCGCACAGGTGAGCGGAGGCGGCGGGGCCGGGGACGAAGGAGGCGGTCGGGCCGCGCCCGAGGCCTGCGGGCGGGTCCACAGCGCCGGCCCGGCGGGGCGCCTCGTTGTGCCGCGGGGCCCGGGCCGAGCCGGGCGGGCGGGCGGTGCCCGCGGGCCGCGCGGCCCTTTGCGGGCGGCCAGAAAATGGCGGAAAACAAAATGTCGGCCGGCGGGGCGGGGAAGGCGGCGGCTCGGCGGGACAGGGGTTATCCCCGCCTCCCCGGCCCGCCGCCGCCGTCGCCGCGGGACGGGAGCCCGGAGGCGCCCCGGGGCGCGGCCGCGGGGCCGCCGCGTCGAGGGGAGCCCGCGGGCGGCTCCGGCCCCCGCGCTGCGGGCGGCGTCCCGCGGGGTCCTTTGTCTCAGCGGCTCCGCGCTCCCGCTCCGCCCTCGGCCGCCGCCGCGCAGCCCCGCTGCGGAGCGCGGGAACCGGGCGCTGCCCACCGCCTCTGCGGGCTCCCGGCGCCGCGCTCCCGACGCCCGGCGGCGCGCCCGGTCCGCGGACACGCGCGGCGCTCCGCAGCCGCGCAGCCCCGGCGCTGCCCTGCCCTGCCCTGTCCCTCCCTCCCTCGGGCGGGAGCTGCCGGCGGAGATGCGCGTCTGTATCCCTAATCCGTGCGGCTTGGGGCGCGGATTGGGCGGCGGGACGGTCTTTCGCCGTCTTTGTCATTTAAATGTCTCCGCGGATAGGTGATCGCAATAAAGGACTTTAAAACGGATACGTTAGCTGTAACACCCGGTCTTTTTGTGCGCACGGTTCGCGCTGTTCTCCGTGTCGCTCTCTGAATTGGCGCCGTCTGTTCTGTTCCTGCCCGAGCAGGACGTTTCTCGTTCCATTTCTGTGGGATGCTGCATTAAAATTTGAAAAGGAAAACGCAGCTGAAGTATTTTCAGGGGAAGATAATTCTCTTTTGTTGATACTAAACTCGAATTTTAAGAGATGGGAGAATCTGAAAACATCTGGTTTGAATTTCTCAGCTACATCTGAGTTTGTTTTCTGTGTTTCTCCTGTAGCTGAGCTTCAGTTTAACCAAATGTCACATGCAGCCCGAGAGGATCTGCAGCTCCTGGCCAAGTACGATGCTACGTTTTACTTCATTATATGTAAACCTGTCTTAAATATTAAGGAGAAGAATTATACTTTTCCAGAGGAGAAGCTAAGGCTGACCATCAGGCGTGCACTGTATGAAAATGCATCGCAGTACATCAACACATATGCACAAAGTGATAAGTTAAGTGTGGTGGTCTCCAAATGCCAAGTGTTAGCTTTGGTTTTACACAGTGTTTGCATGGGTTTACGTAGTGTTTCTGCCTCTAGACAGAGATCCTGGGTTCCCTTTTTATTGTACAGTGTATTGCCTGGTCTCAACCGAGATAGCAGGCTGCAATTAAACCAATGAACGTGTTACTGAATGTTCGAAAGTGAAATTATTGTATTGCCTGAGGCTAATGAAGCACTTTGCAGCATTTTGTTCTAAATACCTGAAGGAGACAAGGGAGAGGAAATATTGATATCATGATAGGTTCGTGGAGGAGAGGTGTGGATAAACTCAGGGCAATGAAAGAGTCCAGAGTTGAGGCTTTCTGGCTTATTTCTCAATGTCCTTTTTTAAAACATGTGATTGGAACATATCTTCTGTAGTTGTGTGGGTGTGAAATGCTGTGTACTACAGAAGGAAACTGTGAAGAACCACAGTTCATCAGTGTGCTCTGTTTCTGTGCTGCTTATAAGAATAGGATTTGTGTGGATGTGTAATGTGTGAAATCAACTGTGTTACTGAGACCTGTGAGGGAAAAATACCAATTATAGCAGAACCGTGAGCCTTATCTGTTAATTGTCCAAGCATTAGCAACAAGGGGCCTTCCTGCTGTCATTGCATTCCTTCTAAATCCAAAATTAGACGTAAGAAAATCTCTGATTTAACTGCTGGTGCTGCTCTGCCCTTTGCCTGCACCAAGGAGTTGTTAAAGTGTACTCACAGTGCTTGGATGCCAGTTGCATCAACCAGGGCACAGCTCTGCATGTTCTCTGCTGGCACATCTTTGTCCATCTTGGTTGTGAGTGCAGAATTTAAGATGTGTGCGTGCCCAGGGGCTGCCATCCCAGAACTTGGATCACTTTCACTTTCCCATTACTTACTGGGAAAAATTATTCTTAGTGATGATTAGTTTTCTTTGCAGAGATGTAAGTTAAAATCATAGTCTTACTGTGTACTGAATTTTTTGTGTAGCACATTTTATGATAAATTTCAGCTTCTAAACTATGTAGTCTAAAATTAAGTTGCTCGTTAAGAAAGAACAAAATCCAGTGTATTTCTTGTGTAGGCTCAGACTGGTAGTGACCTTGTTCCCTGAGGGTAGTGGCAGTGGTTGGGGTATTGGAGAGTGCTGCATTTGTTCTGAAATCGCTCCATTGGATGCTCCATCAGACAAGCTGTCTATGGTCTGGAATGGTATCTTACCTTGTATCAGCATTTGTTAATGACCTGAAGAGTTTCAGATGCTGTGGCAGTGATTTAGGAATGGTTGAGCACTGTATTAAAGCTCTGAAGCTACTCTGTGGTTCTTACACTGGTGGATGAATTGGAACTTGAAGCTAAAATTTTAAAACTACATTGAAATGTGAATAGGAAGGATTGTGTTAGTTAAATTCTCGCCTGCTTTTTTCACAGGTGATGATTGACTTTCGTGTTTGTAGTACTTGTTGGTCTGAGGAAACAGCTTACCCTGTTAAAGTACCTTCAGAAATGATCGTGGGGAATTGTTGTAGAATAAATTCTGTAGGAAGAAACATTCATCTTTTTGCTTCTCTAAGAATCTGCATTGTAGATTTCAAGACGATTTGAGATAAGTAGATTTTAACTATGCTGCAGGGAAAAAGTGTTAAAAGGGCAATGCTGACTCTGGGTGATAACAGTTCTTTGGTTCTTTTGTGTCCTCAGTTCGGTTGGAGCCTCCCTCGTGCGGAGCAGTGACTGTTGCTTGAAATCTCCATCTTTGCGGGCTGCTTGCTGCTTCCTCACCTGAGAATTTCAAGAGTATAAAAGAATAACCTCTGCTCAGTTCCTTCCTTGATAATGAAGATACAGTAAGCATGAATCGCTTTTTCCACATCTTTATTTTGTCTGCTTAAGATTGGTTGTTACTGTTTTGTATTTCTTTGTGTTAGATAAATTGGGAAACAGAAGCCCCTGAGCATTAAAGAGTCAAAGTAACAAAGCAGGTGTGAAAAACCAAAGCAAGGAAGCTTAAGATATAACAGCAGGAATTTTACAGCTGGTTGGTGGGTCTGCTCTATCAAAAGCTGCACAGGACTGTTTTTACACCAGAGGGATGTTGCAGATGGCTCTGTAGGACCGGCTTTCTCCTGGCTGCAGAAATGAGGTGGCACAGAAGGGAATAACACTTTGAAGATCAGATTTCTAAAATAATGAGATAATTTTGTGAAAGTCGTCAACCAACGTGGATAGCGTTGGGCTGGTGGATGGAGATGCTGGTGCAGAAGTCAGGTCAGCTCTGTTGTTTCTTCTGCAAAGTCCTGTGGCAGTGGAGATGCTGCACTGCCATTTCTTATGCAGGACTCCTGCTGCTGCACTGGGTAGCTTTGCACTGTGTGCACATCTAACTGCACATGGCTGAAATTTTATGCTAGATCTTGTGTTGGACTATTTTTTAATGATACAGAGGGGCTCATGCACAGCCGCTGAAAAGCTGCTTCAGCACTTCTGTTCTTTTAAGTCTAGTGCATAGTGCAGCTTTTTTTCAAAACTTAACTGCAATTTAATGTGTTTAATGAAATCTACACATGAAAAAAAATTGATACGTGTTTGAGATAGCTGATAGAAAATCGTGAAAGAATCTGAAAAACTGCTTCTCTCAGTGCAGCTCCCCGCTTTCCCCAGTGCACTGTGCCCCATGCAGCTGTCTTGGCCAGCCCTGATAATTTCTTGAAAGGGTATCCAGGGGCAGAGCACAGGTGGCTCCTTGTGCTTGGCTGCTGGTGCAGCTTGTTAGGGTACGGCCTGGAGGTGGTCATCCTGCTCAGGTGACTTCTGATGCTTCTCCTCACTGCCACCTGTGGTTTATTTCTGGTAAAGGTAACAGTCTTCATGGCAAATTTCTGCTTCTGGATAGTAGTTACATCTTATCAGGTTGTTGGTTCCTAATATGCATTACATTGTTTTGTTAGGATGGCCTGATGCTACTGCCAGTATTGCTTGTGAAAGTGAGCTGTTACTCTGTGGAGATGGCCTCATGACATTGCAAAGCTTCATGTTCAGTTTGCAGTGGGGAAATTGAAGGTTGTGACATTTCTTGTATTTACAGCTCCTAGAACTAAAGTTAAAGTCTGTTCCTCTACTTCTTGGTTTAATTACACAGATTACAAACAGAACTGTTCTAGGCCAGGCAGTAACCAGAGATTTACATAGAAAAAGAACTACTAACATGCTTGATTTCACTTGCATGAATAATTCTTTTGAGTACTGCACGATTATTTACAGATGGCAACATTTACAGGATATTAGGTCACAGAGCATAAAGCTGTGGGAAGAAAGCAAAGTGAGTTGTATGAAGTGCTGCTTGTTTTTTATTGAACTTGTGGATAAATAGTTTTCTGTTAGTCAGTGTGACACATGAATCCAGTGAAGCTGACAAACACAATGGTGCTGTGGTTAACAAATCCTGATTTTGCTTTTGCAGTTATTTGTGAATGAATTTAGCTGAATATGGATCCGGGTGGTGGAAGTCTGGGATTGCAAACACAAGAATCCAAAATGCCTCACGCTATGATTATGCAGGACTTCGGTAAACATTTTATCTGTTAAACATTAATTAATAACATCAAGACTGTTTTTAGGTTTGCTATGTGTTTGCAAGTGATTTCAAGATGTAAAGTTGACTAATACAACAATGATGTTTGCATGGCCTTTTGGAGAAATTTCAAAATATAAGTTGATGTATAATGAGGCTTTGTATATACTTCAGTCTCTCATCTAGAAATAGTCACCTGTCCCAAAAAATTGAGGAAATTTCAAAAAAAATAACAGCCATTTGTGGTTCAGAGTGGGACATGGAGTTCAGTGCTGTTGTAGTGTGTGCCTCTTCTTGAAATACCACTGGCCTGCTGTTACATCTGCATGCTGGTACAGTACAGCCGAGTTTTTGTTGGTTGCCTTGATTACTGTCTCCAGTTCTCACTTAGGAGGTGTAAATGATGTGGAAAATAAAGTCTTTGTGTATCAACAAGTAACTTTCTAGGTAGGCAACAATTTACAGATGTAACTGAATCTATGATTAATTAATGTCTTTCACAAAGTGCCAAAATAATCACATTTGCAGCAGTGTTGAATAATTCTAGTATTTTTTTCATTCTTGTAAGTGAATGTTTTATTCATTAAGATTCAATCTGCTATTTCAGGGTGCATTACAACAATTCACTCTTTTTTTTTTAATAGAAAAGTAGCTTTCAAATATGACTGGCCAGCTTTCTGCTTCTAGCTATCGATTGCAATGTGGCAAGTTGCTGGAAATTGTGCTATAAATATGGCTTATGATAGAATACTTATTTTTATCAAGGCCTCTCCAGCCTTAAGAGTCAGAGGCCTTTTATTGTACCACCAATGAATGTATTGTTAGCATATGGATTACTTCGAACAGTCTTTTTTGGTGAGATGCAAAGTGTAGATTGTTGAAAAATAACAGATTTACATCTGCGTTTACCTCACTTACACAATTATTCATTGGATAAACTCTGCTAATGCAATAATTTTAACCTTTTTTTCCTCATTCCTAATTGTTTCATAGTGGCTGGAATGGCCGGCACTGCTCATATTGATGGAGATCATATTGTTGTGTCAGTCCCTGAAGCTGTCCTTGTTTCTGATGTTGTTACTGATGATGGAATAACTCTTGACCATGGCTTAGCAGCTGAAGTTGTGCAAGGACCAGACATCATCACTGAAACTGATGTTGTAACAGAGGGTGTCATTGTTCCCGATTCTGTTCTGGAAACTGATGTGGCTATTGAAGAAGCACTAGATACCAGTGATCATGTTCTGACTTCTGATCTAATAACAGAAGCTGTTAGAGTTCCTGACCAGGTGTTTGTGGCTGACCTTGTTACGGGTCCTGATGGACATTTGGAGCACGTGGTGCAAGACTCCGTGTCAGCAGCTGACTCACCTACAATGGTCTCGGAAGAAGTCCTTGTAACAAACTCAGATTCTGAAACAGTCGTTCAGGCAGCTGGTACTGTTCCTGGCTCTACAGTGACTATAAAAACAGAAGATGATGATGATGGCAAGAGTACATCGGAAGACTACTTAATGATATCTTGTAAGTTAAACAAAGGTAGACGTGAACACGAGATTACCTTAAGTAGAAGTGGTCTAGTGAAGAGAAATCACGTTAACTGGATCCTTGCTGCACTGTGTACTGGAGCTCTCCAGTTAATTCTTTTTAATTCTTGTTGTCTGGATTTGAGTTTGCGTAGTGAAAATAGTTATCACTGATACAGCAAGAAAAATAATCTTCAAGCTGTGGAATGTGTATGCTTCTGTTTCTGAAACTTATATTCCCCAAAATTAAGAAAGATAATATGGAAGTTAAAAATTACATTCATGTTGAGTAGGCAACTTTTTTTTTCTTTTCTTTAAAAACAGAGGTGTAATACTGTATTATGTAGGTTCACAAAAAAATAACGTTGGGTTGATCAGTAGAATCCAACAAAGAAGGCAGCTTTTTCAAGATGCCATACTCTTTTTTTTCTTTGCTCTTGTCAACAAAACATTGTTTAGCTGCATTAAAAATAATAATAGCCATTTTCTTGCATGTTGTGCTGTTGTGGACACAACTTGACATTAAGGAGTTAAGTACGTAACTGAGAAGCTTTCTGTAAGTGGAAGGAGGCTGCCTACTTCAGTTTCCATGTGGCATTCAGACCCCGTCCACACTTCTGAGGAAGCTGTATAATTACAGACTATGAGTTGAACAAGAGCTACTGAAAGGGTTAGTGAATTTATACCTTAGGTATATTATGTTTTTTCAGTGGTTAAATTATACTACAGATAGCAGTTTTTGCTCTTTCACACAAATTAGGTAAAATACAATAGTTATTTAGATTTTTGATTTCTCCAAATCCGGTATTGCAGTGTCAATACATCAGAACAGATTTTATTTTGTCAGAACCAATGTGTTCTGTTTATTAAAAAGATGCCAAGTGCTGAAGTGTCCATCTCTTCACAGTAAGCTCCATTTGTTAGAAATTTCAGAGTGTGACAGATCAGCATTTGTAATGATTTAAATATTTCATTGCATGAAATATAGCACTTTTCATAGCACTTCTGCACAGTGTACTTCTGCCATTTATTTTTCATTCAGTATAAGACTACCTTCCTGTGATTTCTGTAATGTCACATGCCACTAATGAAAGTTATAACTACTTTGATAGAAGAGCCAAAAGAAATCTTCAGCCTAAAAGCAAGTTAAATCTAGAACATAAAAAATCCCATGTGTTTGTAAATAAAGGAACACCATTCATACAGTCAGTTGTTTCACTGAAAAAATTCCTCCTTTCTGACAGAGTACTTACGATGAGTTGTATTCTGTAACCGTGGTATTTCCAGCTGCACCTTTGTAATTGTAAGTAAAGTCATCTTTGGAATTCTTGTTAGATAGATACGTGATTTGATTGTAACAGTCACTGTCCTTAGACAAGAGCATCTCAGCTTTCAGTAGGTTACCTGGTGACCCCAGCTGTGGCTGGTACATACCAGTGTTGTCAGGTGTGCTCAAGTCTGGTCATGGCTTTTCCAGTGTTTCAAAGCCAGTCTGAGACCCAGATTTAAACAAATCATTTCTGCGTGTCTGTATAACTTGGATACGTCTGAGTAATCATGGCTGGAAGCTACATTATTAGTCTGGAATTTTGTTTGAAAGTAATCAGGTGCATATTAAGGCAGGCTTTTGCCTCTGTGAAGTTTTGAGGCTGTGTTGTGCTCTCAGCCAGCCAGAACTGACAAAGGATGCACTGTTGATTTTTATTTTCTGTTATTTTTTCAGCAAAAAGTGGATCAGTTCCATACAGTTCATTGATTGCACATTTTCTGTTTGTTTATTTTATGTTTTATAAATTGGCCAGTAATCTGTTATGGTTCTGAAGACAATCTTTGTGTATAGTAGATAAATATATCAGTTTAACAAATGTTTTAAAGACATTTTTACTTACATTTTTAATTGCAAATGTTCATTAAATATTGTAGAAAGTTAACTTATGGTGTAGCTTATTTTAGGGTCTGTTCATAGGGTTGATTAACTTCTAAGTAAATTTTAACTCAGATCACTTCAAAATATTAAAGACTCATAATATTTCTTATCGGGCTTTTAATGAAATTCAGAAGCTGAAAAAGGGGAACTACACACAGTGTGACAGTTGTAGCCTTGGGGAATATTCCAGCTGTGGAACACATTGTGGGGAATTTCTAAAATATTAGAAGTGTTTTTTAATATATATATTTTTATTTTAGAGCGTATAGCTGTGCTGAGCATGAGCATGCTGAGCAAATAACTGAAAATTTTAGCTTATTGTTTTGCTGAGGATTTTGGCTTAAATATACTGACGGGTAGTTTTTGGCACTGTCCCAGTGCTGATGAATTCAGCTTTTAAAATCAGCTTTGCAAGTGTAAGACTGAAAATGCTTGGTTTTGATGTATTTAAGGGGTGTGCCATGGGAGATGCACAATACCCCATTTCCAAATCTCTGGAATACCTGCTGAGAAAGTACTTGTTTCAAAGGAAATAAACACAAGATGAATGCACACGGGGTGATCATACACCCATCCATCTCCGTACTGAGATGTAAATATAATAAGCAGCGCATCCCATTTTGCCAGGGTGGGATTGGCACACGTGTAGCTTAAAGCATACCCTTTTTTGTTTTTCAGGTTTGCGATATTCAGACCCACAGGGGATTGCCAGCTCCCGACCCGTGCGTTGGCCCTGCATGCACTATGTTGGTGACTTCATACCCACCAAAGAACAACTCTGGAGCTGGCCTTTAGGGGTAAGGTACTGTCACCGCCGCCTCCTTTTTAGTGTATTACAGTACAGTGTTAAATAGTTTGCTGAACATTTTAGTATTAAATCAATACTCCTATACTGTGACCAATGGGATATAAAATAAGTATATCAGACATTGGAAAAATATGAAAAATTGTAAAACCACTGGACTTATCTTGCCCTCGTGTTATTCCTATGGGCTCCTATGGTGGGTGTGATATCACCAGCATAGTGCATGCTGAGGCATCACGTGAACCTGGAGCTGGCAATCCACGGTGAATCTGGACATCACACACCTGAAAACAGCTAAGGTAAGTTTGATATTAGAAGTGTGCTGAGTTTTCCTTTAAACTTTGTTATTCAGGAGGATTCAGCATATATTTATAAAAGTTTTCTGTTGTGTTTTTTCAGTTAATTTTAAATGACAAGATAATAATATGTAGTGCTTCTGGTGGATGAGTCAGATGTGGAAAACACTTTCATATTCTTCATTGACATAAAGTAAGCATTTGTGTTCCTGGGAACTATCACTGGGAAAAGGCATCAGTTCTTTTGACATTGTTGGGATACCAGTGTGTAATTAAGTCCTATCACTTAGACCATAGGATATTTTCATGGCCTTTAAAGAAAAAAAAATCCTCATGTTTTGGAACTTGACAATGATTACATGTCCTGCTGTTGTTTTTCTCTGATTTAAATTTGTTTTTAAACAATTGATTGAAACCACCAAGTTTAGATTGCATAAGATGGCAATCTAAGGAGTATCAATTGTTCAGCCAGTGTCTGTTATTGCAGGTACTTAGACAAACTGCAACATCTTACAAATAGTGGTCTGTGTCAGTAACAGTTCCTCAGCCCACTTGGTTCTTCTCAGGTTTTCTTATTTCACTTTTACTTTCCCAGGAAAGTGATTTCAAAGACCTTCCATATGCAGACTTCCCTTTATGAAACTTTATTTAAATAAATAAAGTTATTTATTTAACTTTAGATTAAATTGTAGAGACTACAGATCCTGGTAAACACACAGGATGGTCAATGGTGTGGGAGTCGCTGCTGATTTTAAAAACGCTGCTGTGAATTTGTCCATCTAAGCATGGCTTTTTATCCTTTTTTTTTTTTTAAAGAACGTTCCAAATTTGAATTGGTGAAATACAGCACCAGCACATAGGCATGTGTACCATATTCATGTGTTTTACACTAAATTTTTGGGTGAAAAAAAATTGAAAATTCCTTCTTTTAATCTTTATGTAATCTTTCTTGAGTTACAATTGATGCCATGGTAAGGCACTGATCTTGTTTGCTTATTGTTGTGCTGTTTCACCGGATACAGTCATCCAGCTTTAGTTAAATAGTTGGGAATGTTTTCTGTGAAGGAAGGGTACCACGTGTAACTGATGGCTCCCCAGTTCAGTAGGAAGTTGCTGTACTACTTCAGTACTGAAATACATATTTTCTGTGTGAAACCAACATGTTATGTTTATAAAATGCATGCGTTTAGAAAAAGTTTGTTATTTGAATTATGGATTGGAAAATAACTTTTCTACCCCTTGCCAATTGTAGGATTACAGTGGCAGCACGCAATTAGTGATTTTTAATACCCAGCCTTTGACTTCTCTTTCTATGTTTTGGCAGCATATCTAGTCATATAGCTGTTTGTACAATCACCCCTGCCTTTCACTGTTAGTTACCTCTGATCCTGATCCTTCATAGATTTGTATATGCAGTGGGAATGTTCCTTGCACTAAAATTAAACGTGTTGTTCTGAAGGCTGTGGATAAGCTGTGCTTTGTTGTTTGTGGTGTCAATACTCTGACTGTTACATTGCCCTGTAAGGTAATGTGAGTGTAATGTACTGCATGTCAGATTTTAACAGATAAGGGATTGGTGGTGGTGTTGATTTTTTTAGAGTTTTAGAATGTTTTTAATTACAAAACAAAAATCTTTTTTTCTGAGGGTAATCTTACATTATTTCCACTGATCCAGGTGGGATACATTGTGGCATTTCAGTCAGTCTGTTACTTACAGAAAGAAACAATTGAACAATTCTTTTTTTTTTTTAAATATATTTTCCTGTTTTAATCAAAATATAAAATAATATCAAATATAATATTTAGAAGTTTTAAAATGAAATACTTATTTATGCTTAACTACTTTACACCTGGTTGTGCTCTCATTAACTTCTGTACCCTTCTGATGCAGTTCAAAATTTCTGAAATAAAAATAAGATTCCTGAATGTGCAGATGGAAAACAGTTTAACTGGGATAGATTTTTTTCTGTGGAATCCTGTCTGAGTGGGAAGAGCTTAGTTTGGGATTGCTGTGGTGAATTCCAGTCCTGCTGCAGGAAAGGCATCTTGTTGTTTTTGTAATGGGTTCTGAACCATCTCACATGACTGCCTTGAGTATTAAGAAAAGCCTAAACTAACTCCAGTTACCTGAGTACACCAGGCTGTAGCCTGAAGTAGTTAAAAGCAGCTCTTCAGGAGCAGAAGTGGCAGCACAGAGAGCAGGAAGCTTAGAGGGGGCAGTGGGGAGCATCCCAAGGTGAGCCATCCTGTCCTCAGAAATGTGGGGAAATCTCCACACCCACATGGAGTATGCTCACAGTCCTAGTCATGAAGCACTGTTTTCACATAAGTGTTAGTTTATGGTTTTTTTTCCCCCCAGTATTACACGTTACGTATGCAATACATTGTAATGTTCATGAAATGTATGTATTTCAGGTTTTGTTTACATTTTGGGGGATTCATCCCAGGTCAGAGGATGTCTGGGTGTTACGTAGGCCTGTGCTGGCTGTCTACAAAGGAGCTAGTTTTGTGCACTGACAGTAATGTGGTGGCACTGTCCTCCATGTTAGCAGCTTGGGACGTACATACATGGAGATCTTTGTGCATGCTCTTCTTACCAAAACAGTGGTAAGAAGACAAAAACTTTTAATGGTTTTAATGTGTTTTTTGTTGAATATGTAGGCCCAAATACATCAGAGTAGCAAATGTGTACACATAAAGAAAGAGAAGTCAACCTCAGATTGTATTATTTGGATTTACTTCTGTCTCATCTTTCAATCAGCTGTATGCTGTACAATAATCTTCATTAATTGGCATGTTTTCACGTGGCAAAATTTGATAAAATCATAATTTCTTTTAGATTGAAGGTGTAGTGAATTTTTTATGCATGTTTCTGTCACTGGAGTATGCTCAGGAGATACTACTCTTGATTAGAGTATCTACTACTAAATCTTAGTCTCTGGTATTGTAGTGAAGCTTCTTGGAACTCTTGCACTGTAACAGGCAACCCTGGTCTAGTTTTTCACGTTTTTATGGAGATACATTTGATTTTACTTACTGATACATTTTTGCTTCTGCAGTGTAATAGTTTCAGGCAAAAATAGGTACTTTGCTGACAAGTTCCCTCATGTTCTTCACTTGGTAATTCATGAAATGGTTGCAGAGTTGCAACAAAACCAGTATTGAACTTCTGAAATTTCTTTAAGTATCTTAAGATGAACTATTTTGTAAAGGCCCTTATACAGAACTTTACTATATGGGGATAGTAATGGAGAAAATCATGCTACTGGTAACTCTAACGTGTGATAATGTGTTTGAGCCTCATTGTTACTCTCTTATCTTTACAGTGGATGATGTTGGAGAAAAACTGGACCACATAGGAAGCACTCCCTTGAAAATCAGTACTGAAGTGACAAATGATGAAGTGGCTAAAGATGATGGGTTTGGTTCTGAAGTTATCAAAGTATACATATTTAAAGCTGAAGCTGAAGATGATGTTGAAATAGGTACCTCTTTAAATTCTGTGGTTTTTTTCTAGTAGTATGAAGAAGCGTTTGCAGGTCTTTCTACCTTGTAATTCACTGACTGGGTTGTTCCTCAGAGTGACATTGGTAGGAATTGCCCATGTGCTGATAATACTCAACGTTGCAGGTCATTTTTTGACGAGCACTATTTATTTTCATTTATTTTCAATGTTGAAATGTCGTTTGTTTATTACCAAACCCCAAATACAGGAGTGGCTGAAGAGCTGCATTTTTTTTCATAGATACTTTGCAGGATGGACTGCTGTGAGTAACAAGTATTCTTAATAGTACTATTACTGATAGCATTGGTCTCGTGTGTCAGTGTGTTGCAGTCTGTTGTTACTTGGACAGATGTCCTGGCTGAGCCACTTTAGATGAAAGTTCTGAAAATAAGCTGTGGTAGTAAAATCACCTGCCTTTTTTGTCATAAACATGGAAAAGAAAAAAATAGAGAAATAAATACTGATGATCGGTTGTTTTGGCATACATACCTATGTATACCAAATGTAAACTGACAGTCAGTGCCCAAAAGGAAAATCTGGCTTTGATTGCCTCTGTGGCACTGCTTATCATTTCTCATTAGTTTCCATTTTGCTCCCACAGGGCTATGGGGGCATTTGTGTCTTCCTCAAGTTCTTCATGGCACATGAGCTTTGGGGAGTGTATAGAAATGAAAAGTGGAAAAATTGTTCTTTATTAACACTGAAATTCCTCTTACATGCCCGGGATCTGACTTCTGTTATCTGGTGATGGGGTTACCTACTATGTTAGTTCGACATTTTGGTCACCATTGCTTTCAAAAGGATGAGTTTTATACAATAGCTTTGTTGTAAAATACTTCAGTCTGAAATTAATGTTGAGATTGGCTTTGTTTACATGCACTTAAGGTGTTTGACTTCTTTTTTTTAAGGTGGGACAGAAATTGTCACAGAGAGTGATTTTCACAATGGACATTCAGTAGCTGGAGTAATTGAACAAGGAGGTGTTGGTAGAATGCAGCGAGAAAAAATGGTTTACATGGCTGTTAAGGACTCTTCTCAGGAAGATGAAGATATTAGTAAGCATAATACGAAACGTTTCTGTTTCTTGTGCTGTTTTGTACAACAATATAAGCATCATTTTCAAGGACTTTTTAAATTATTCTGAAGGATTCTTCAGCCTGAAGTAGTAGCAAACTAAGTTTGTCTTCCCTAAAAATAAAGAGCAGGTTATAATTATTTTAAAGTGGTGTGGATAAAATGTGCTTTTTCATATTGTATGCCATCATTCCATTATTCATATTAAATTTAACATGTCCATGGATGAAGTTTATGAGGTTAGTTGAATTTCTTTTTTTTTTTTTTTTTAAACACCTTTGTTTTCCTGTGTGAATTGCCATGTTTAATTCTCTTTCTGGCAAAGTGGCAAATAAATGTCATCATTCTAAAATTTGTAAATTTGTATACTTGAATTTGTATTCGTATTTATTGATACGTGTTTTCTCTCTTTAAGGAATGTCTGAATAAACAGTTATCCCCTAAGGGAAGGTGTGGCTCTAAATGCCAGAGGAAGAAAACTAATTTATAACTGGTATCAATAAGAGTGAAATCAAATTACATGCAGGAAATTTTAAAATGTGCAGAATAAAATTTATGATGTATTCTTCTTCTTTAACTCAGGCTGTGCTGAAATAGCAGATGAAGTTTACATGGAAGTTATTGTAGGTGAAGAAGAAGCTACGTCACTTCCAGACACACAGCTTGAAGAGACTGGTGTGAATAAAACTTTTGTTCCTGTTGCTTGGGCTGCTGCTTATGGTAGGAATCTCTATGCTTATTTTTTGAAAATCCCTTTCATAATTTTTTTCCCAGTCTGGTTTCCAGATTCTACATGTAAATGTCACAATTTTTAACTATTGGGCAGGGTTTGGAGGCAGCTCCTTCAGGTCTTTTAGCAGTGTCAGTCAGTGGAGCTAATAAAATGCTGTGAAAAATTCCTTTCCACGTAATTCACAACTTTCACATGTGAAGTCCTTGGCTTTTTGCAGTTCAGATAGGAAAAAAAAAATTCTCATTTTTGTAGTGTTTTTGTTTTTTTCCCTCAATGCTTGCCTGCCTAGCAGTTGTCATATTATTGTAGAAGTTGGTTGTCTTGCATGTAATGAATGGATTGCTATGTGTTGAGTTTTATGAAATAGGAAGGAAAGCTGTTTGAAGAACTTTGATACCCTTGTTCTTAATACCAGCTCAGATGTACAGAGCGTGTGGGTTTTTGATGATTGATGAAGTCATCTGTTAAGGGTTTTACAAAAGCAAGAATAACCTTAAATATTTTATATTCACTAGGAGAAAGGGGAAATACCTTTCAAAAATAGAAGAGAGTGTAAATTCATCCCTGATAAGTTTATATAAGTCCATTTATGTACCATATTTTAAACCTGCTAGTCCTTTAGATCATAAGTGAGAAAAACAAAATATGTCTTCTGTGGCCATGTTTCAAATTGTAGAAGTATTGGGATATATTGCAAATTCTGAATATTCTCTTATTTCAGATTTATTCTTTTCTAGGATTTTGGCATGTTAAAATTATATTAAGTGTATGAGATCATCAATGGCTTATACTTAAGCAAGCAAATTAGATAGTTTAGATTCAGTGGCGTTCCATTTCTGAGCACAGTAGCTGGGCTTGATGAAGTGGTTGTAAAGCACCAGGCTTTGGCATGTAGCACTAAGCACTTTCAATTCAAAATGAGAAGTACACTCTTAGTATGACTTCTCCATCTCATAGGAGAGTGGAATGGCTGGTAGGGTGGAAGTCCTTTTATCTGCCAAGTTCTACTCCATAAGGACAAAGTACTTTGATCTCAGGAACAAATTGTGGATTTCAGGTCCCCTCGTTTCTAGATTGACGTCAGAGGCTTTTTTATAAGTTAGAACTTCCAAGAAATAAGGTTATTGCTAGTGAGAGGCAGGAAAGACAGCATGGTAAGCATGCAAGCACATCTTCAGTGAGTATTCAAGTACTGACAGAGATATGATCTTTATTTCCTGGTGCACATAATTGCAAAATACTGAACTGATGTGAACTGCACAGCTCATTATGGACAGTATTGAGCTGTTATTTATTATTTAAGTTAGTTTTCTCTCATTCTTGGACTTTCAAAACCATCATCTTTAAAAAGAACTTTAATTTATAATGACTAAAATACCATTTTCTGCAGGAGATGACAGAAGATTACCCAGAAGATATGAAGATGGTCAAGCGGCAGGTAAGGGCATGCAAATATGATGTGTAGAGCTTTACAAGTAACTTAGTGTCTTTAAAGCAGTATACATTGATGTGTTGTAGTTCTCCTGATCAGAGAATGCAAAAAATTACACATAAAGCATAAGCTGAAGAACTGCATAGTATTTCTCTTCTATTTTGAAATGAAAACAATTCTGTAAGTGTTGTGGGCCTTCAGATTGGGTGGGGAAGTCGTTGGTTGTGTTTAGTTTGGTAGTCAGAGCAGAGATAATGCAGTTGCTAGGAAGTAAAATCAAGTTAGATAGATAAGAGAAAGTATCTGGCATAAACTGTCAGAAATTAATATTCTGAGAATACAAGATAGCAAAAAATGTACTTGAAAATTATTAATTGTTTAAACAATTAAGTTCTTGAGTTTGGCCAACAAAGGCAGTGCTTTATATTGGCACTTTTTAAAAAACATGTTCGTTGCAGAGGAATGGGTGATCTGTTTTGTTTTAAAGTAGACATTTTGCTGTGCAATTCCAGTCATCAGTCCCAAAGAAAATAATTGTTTAAGATTTTTTATGGTGTCTAATTTTTGTTTCTAGGGAATAACTTGGATACACGATTAGAAAACAAAAACGGTAATGCAACACAATACCTGCAGATTTGTGATAGCATTAGCACTAATAGAGTGCTAAAACAAAAAACCAAGAAAAGGAGGAGAGGAGAGGCCAGGCAATGGCAAACAGGTAAACACTGTATGGTTGCTCTCATGGAGTGGCACTTACTCCTTTACTATTCTTCTTTTTTTTTTCTTTTTTTTTTCCAAACTGGTTCAGAATTAAAAATCTAAATGGTGATTTGCAGATTTCCTGTGTCCTTCCCCCTCCAATTCTGTGCATAGAGAACGTGGTAGGTTTTGCTATTGAAGTTAGCAACTTAGCACTGGTGTAATTCATTTGAATGTTGTGAGTGATTAAAAAGGATTTTGTGGACGTACTCACTGTACATCTGATATCACTTTCTAAAACAAATTGATATATAAACTGTAGGTGCTGTGCATTGGTTGCTTTTAAACTACTGAACTCTTGCTGCAAGAGTAAGTGCATGAATCTGAACAACAGTTGGCTGATTTAAAACTTCTTAATCAGTAAATTTGTTTCCTTCATAACTTGTTTTTGTTTGTTTAAAAACAGCTGTTATAATAGGTCCTGATGGACAGCCCTTAACGGTTTACCCTTGTCATATATGTGGGAAAAAATTTAAATCCAGAGGATTCTTGAAAAGGCATATGAAGAATCATCCAGATCATATGATTAAGAAGAAATATCAGTGTACAGACTGTGACTTTACAACTAACAAAAAAGTAAGTTTCCACAATCATCTGGAAAGCCATAAACTTATAAATAAAGTTGATAAAACCCATGAATTTACGGAATATACAAGAAGATACAGAGAAGCAAGCCCACTGAGTTCTAATAAACTAATACTGAGGGACAAAGAGCCTAAACTGCACAAGTGCAAATATTGTGACTATGAAACTGCAGAGCAGGGGCTGCTCAATAGACATCTACTTGCAGTTCACAGTAAGAACTTCCCTCATGTATGTGTGGAGTGTGGGAAAGGATTCCGTCATCCGTCAGAGCTGAAAAAGCATATGAGGACCCACACTGGGGAAAAGCCATACCAGTGTCAGCACTGTGTCTTCAGGTGTGCTGATCAGTCCAATCTGAAAACTCATATCAAAACCAAACATGGGAATGACTTGCCATTTAAATGTGAGCACTGTCCCCAGGCTTTTACAGATGAAAAGGAGCTGCAGCAGCACACAGAATTGTTTCAAGGGCATAAGACTCATCAGTGTCCGCACTGTGACCATAAGAGCACCAACTCCAGTGACCTGAAGCGACACATTATTTCAGTTCATACGAAGGATTTTCCCCACAAATGCGAGGTATGTGAAAAAGGCTTCCATCGTCCATCAGAGCTCAAAAAGCATAGTGAAACCCATAAAGGTAAAAAGATACATCAGTGTAGACACTGTGACTTTAAAACGTCAGATCCTTTTATACTGAGCGGGCACATCCTCTCAGTTCACACCAAGGACCTGCCTTTTAAATGCAAAAGATGTAAAAGAGGATTTAGGCAGCAAACTGAACTTAAGAAGCACATGAAGACACACAGTGGAAGAAAAGTTTATCAATGCCAGTATTGCGAATATAGCACTACGGATGCGTCAGGCTTTAAACGACATGTAATATCAATACACACAAAAGACTATCCACATAGGTGTGAGTATTGCAAAAAGGGATTCCGTAGACCATCAGAAAAAAATCAGCATATAATGAGGCACCACAGAGAGGCCATAATGTAATATATGATGTCAAGAAGGAAGCAATTTAGAAACTGTGTTATGATAATTGGGGAAAAAAAAATCTCATGAACTGTTTCTCCTGGTTTCAAAGCTCGATATTAAATCATAACTTTACATTCTTTGTATTAAAAGTCTTAAAGTATTAGGGTTGACAGGGGATCTCATAGCCCTACGATTGTTGCTTATCAGAACCTGAAGAGCACTATAGAATGCAGAAAGATGGATGAATGTCTTAAATTTGCAGAAAGATGAATGAATGTCTTCAAGTAATAGTATTACGCGTTGTTAAGCTATGGAAGACAAAAAGAAGATGATTGTGTTACCCGTTTTGTCAGTGAGAGCGTTTGTCTCCATACTAAAACAGTTCAGATACGTGACGGGATTCTTCACAGCTGGTTTGCTGAGGCAGCTGGGCCTGGCTTCTTGTGTGGTTCTGAGAGAAGAGTATTCGTCACTCACTTGATCATAACGTTTGAAATCGTGCCTGGAAATTATATTCTAGAATTGGTCAGAGTTAGGGGGGGTTGTCCTGCTTTCAACAAATACAACATTTCATTGGGAAACTTTTTGGTTTCCTCTATTAGTTAGGTCCAACAAGAAATTTGTAATGATTTTCAAAGCTGCTAACCTATTTTATTGCAGGATACAATGACAAAAACACAGCGTTGTGTTATGATCTCAGAGGTGGTGTTTTGGTGCTAGGCTTAAAGACGTGTATGTACATAACTTCCCTTTTTTACCTGAAACTGTGGCTGAATGTTGTTCAGTATGGCACATAAAATTAAGTTTGAATCTGACTCTATTTTTTAAGGATGAAACGGATGCAGCTGATAGTGTTGCTACTCAGCACTACTTTTTTTTTCTCACTACTTAAAGATCTCAAAGTACTATTAAAAAGAAAATTGAAAAAAACTATAGTTTGTTTTTAATTAAAACTCAGAGTACTTAGAAGCTCTTTAGGGCAGTGTTCTTAACAGGTATGGCAATTGCCCTACCTCCTAATATGAAATTTTCAATATAGACATAAAATTGCACCTTTTAATCAATTCTTTAAAAAAAGAAATCTATACCACGCTATAAACGTGCATTTTCAATCTGTAAGAAAGTATATATGCAGTATTTAGCCAGAGAAATATGCTGCCGCTAGAGTTTGGAGATGGATCTTCAGTTTACAGTGTATACATTTAAAATATGCATCCCTTTAAACAATGCTTTGTGTTAGCATGCTGCAAATCAAATGGCGCTTAATATAACGAGCTGGTCTAGGGCTATTTAATGAACAACCTGTTCATAAGTGTTACGCATATAATGTGTATTTTTTACTCTTTTTAGTTGCTTCATGTTTGCACACAGCTGTTCACATGAGAAATTGTAACTTCATGCTATATTGTGGCTTTGTGTTTCAGATAATGTTCATATTTTGTTTTTGCACCAGATGAGAATCAGTTCCTTGAGAAAATTTTTTTTTATATTTCTAAACTTCAGGAAGTGAAATTTGGGAAATCTCTTAGAAAAATACGTGTTTTATGTGGCTGTAAAAAATGATGTACACGCTGTAAAATAAGATTGTCACTGTGTGGGATTATTATTTCTAAATGTGTTACTCATCGTAACGGGCATACAATAAAATGCATCTCTTGCACTCCAAATATTTTGGAGTCTATTTCTCATTTATGGTGATTTAGGAAAATCTCATTCGGTGTAATTTTGCCTTAATATTTTAGTTACGTTTTTATTCCCTGGTTGATATGAAGTGTAATAACATCTCAAGTAAACAGGTTACCCAAGGTACGTGTGTGTACCACTGTTGAGGGGGAATATTGAGATTCCAGTTAACCCCCTAAGGTTACAGGTAATGTACGTACTTCTGTTACTAAATAATTATCACGTGTGATAGTGCTGTACCTTTGAAATTCTTTCCTTCAAGTGAAGAGAACATAACATTTCAGTTTTTGGAAAAAGGCAGGTAGGTGCTGTCTTTTATTAGCTTCATGATAAGAGCAGCTGTCGAAATGCTAAAAGTACTGCTTTCTTAATTTTCTTCTCTTTTTAGAATACTTGAATCGTGGCATCAGTGATAGATTGGAACCTCTAAGAAAATAATGCAGTGTTAAATGAACACTTCATCAAGGATTTCCAGTGTGCTTTTAGCCAGCCAACGTGTGACTTCTGTGCGGACAAACAAACTATGCAGACGTTGTTAATGGAATAGTCTGGTTTTTGTTTCTGATACTTTCTTCTGTAGGTCCAGCAGACAGAGGAGGAGACAGTGACATTCACAGAATCTTAGAAATTAATCTTGTGTTTTGTTGACAATTTTAATACTTTATTCCTGAAAATTATATTGAATACGTAGACTGGAGGAGATCCTTCATAGCAGACTGAAGATGACCGTTCTGTGCTGGCTCATTTTTCCACCTCCAGGATGGACAGAATAACCAGATATGTGAGTACTTTTAACATATTCAGCCAGCATTGTAACCAGATTCAGTTCTGCACTGCCTAAGGACCCACCAGAGTTGGTGTGGTACAAACAGGCCATGGGGGTGGCAGACAAAGGAGTACAGTGGAAGGCTTTCAGCTTACAAGATTTCAGTTTAAAATCATAGATGTAGGTAATTCTTTCTATGACTAATGGTTGTTTTGTCTAAGATGAGATAATACACACCAAATTTGGATTTCTTATTTTCTGAATCTCTAACTGAATGCCGGTTGTTATCTTACCTGTCATAGAATCACAGAATCACAAGGTTGGAAAGGACCTACAAGATCATCTAGTCCAGCTGTCCTTCTATCACCATTACTACCACTAAGCTACTAAACCATATCACACAGCACCTCATTCAGACACCATCTTTTAGTTCTGGATTTTTGCTTATAGTCTTTAAGGTTTTGGAAGTGACACCACATCTTCTAGTGATGGCCATGTTAAGTTGCTCTGATCTTTCTGAAGTTTGAGGAAAACAACAGTAGACAGCTGTACTCTGTTTTTCTTGTGTATGGTTTCTTTTTACAGGTTTCATCTGAGAAAACTCCCGAAATGATGCTTATTTATTCCAGTTATGGAATGTGCCAAAACTTCCCAGAATTAATGTTAGTTCAGAACCACTGGTGTCTACCATCCTAAAAAGCACAGTGCAGCGTGGGACATCAATTCTCTTACTCAGATTTTCTGTTGCACGTAGTTACTCCATGCCCTAAACTCTTACACACTGTAAAGTCCACTGAGTGCTGTTTTGTGGTTTGTTTTTTAACATATTTAATGATGGCAAAAACAATATGGTGGGTGCTGGATAAAGATTTACTTCATTTTCAGCTTCATCATCATACAAAGTTCTGTAATGCTTTATTACAGAAGTTGAAATTGATTTTGAGTGTTTTGCAGCCTGTAGGTCTGCCTAGTGAGATTTCCTTTTCTAGTTAGGGAAAAAAAAGTTTTACCTTTTGGAATGTGGAAATTTGTGAGGAACATGTTTTCCAAGATATGAGGGAGGAAATAGTGGTTAGAAAAACTACAGCTGTAGTTGGTTGCTGTCAGCTGAGGAACAAATTTAGGAAGGGAAAGAGGAGCTGAAGAACAGGTGCAGCCTAGTATTCTCTGTGTAGGAGCCCTGCTCTCTGTGACTGATAGATGGAGAACCTAAGCTGAGTTTAATGGAAGTGGTTACGGGCAGCCTTCTCCAGTGGGAAGTACAAAGACAAGTTACTTCTGCAGTTTGGTTGGCTTATTGCTTTAGCAATTGAACATGTCATTATATTCATTATTTCTTTCTTCTTTTGGCAGTGGAACAGCAAAATGGACAGTGAGGCGTAGCTAAGAAGAGACAGTGTGGAAATAAGGACTTGTTGAAGGGAAAAATAGTAGTAAGTATTGGTATCCATGTTCTTAAATTTCACAGTGGTTTGAGGAAGTTCCTGTATTCTTCTCAAGTACATGTTTAACTTGGGATGGCTGTTATTAGAGGTGTCATGATTTTTAAAATGCATCCTGTGAAGTTGCACTAAAATTCTTCTCAGTGCATCCCCAGATCCCTGCTCCCCTGCCTTGCTCCCCTGTGCTTTTGTCAAGGCACAGTGACCTGTGCTGTAAAGCTGTTTGCCCCCAGGAGCGTGGCACTGAGGTGGCTCAGCTGTCCATGACCATGTTTAGATTTCCCTTTGCCTGTTCCTGTGGTGTTGTACATGATGCACAAACAGCTCATGTTTGCTTAAGCAAGCAGCAAGTTTCACAGACATGCAGAAGGGTTGCTCTGAATGTCAGCTGTTCATTATGTTTTTTATTTGAATGACAGAATTCATAAATGGCAGAAGCAGTTCAAAGTGATTCATGACTTGATCATCTATTGTTTTTCTTCAGGTTTCAAGTGCCCACAATTAAAGGTGATGAAAGGAAGAGAATAGATGGAAGAATGCCAACAAAGTAACCTGAAGGTAAAGGTTGGAGAAAAGGTATGTTTGTTACCTTGCTGCAGCATTCACAGTTTATGTTGACTCTTCAGGCAGTGCTAAAGATGTCAGGAACTTCTACAGTAGGACTGTATTTGGCTTTCATTTCACAGCTGGGGCAGAGAAAGTGTTTGCATTACATAGTTATGTGGAAAGATCAGCAAGAGAAACTAAAAGAAACTTCTTTCTCCTACTTTTCAGTTTAAGAACAAGAAACTGCATACTGTCAGATCACCTGAGGCCGTGAGGGTTCAGTTGATAAAACCATTAGTAGTTGACAAGGGCAGTACAGACATTGTTGTAAATGCATAAACGCTGCCTTTGATTTTCTGAATTTGCTCCTGCAAAAATGTAGCAATCTCAGTGGACAAACCTGAAACTGAGGTGAAAAATTGTCAGTGTTGTTGATAATCTGAGTGACAACTGGCATTTACAGAGATGAGTAAGTGTGAAAAATGCGTCCAACAGAAATAACATTAGGTAAATCAGTTTCAGTTCACTGGAAAGGATGCAGCAGCAAGTATCAGTTATTTTTATAATAAAACTACTAATTTTGCTTTATTAAATAAACCCAATTTAAAAACAAAACCAGCCCCAAATGGTCATTATGGTTCATCTTGTCTAGTTCTGCTTTTCAACAAGTATCTATTGCTTTGTGGTACCTGGGTGTAAAATATGTTGTTCTGGCAATCAGTGCTTCAGAATGTACAGTATATGGATGCTTTAAGTTAATCTCACGAGCCTCAGAGCAGCTGGTCCTTACTACACAATGCACTATTGATATCTGTCACTTCTGGTTAGAAAACCAGGCTTTTTTTTTAATATATTTTTTTAGTAGTATGTGTGCTACCAGCTCTCTAAGTATGGGGAATGATCATCATGTTTTCAAATGGATCATAATGCCAGCTGTATATGCAAAACAGTTCATTTGCCTAATCATGGCCTCGTCATCAAATGACAACACAACGCCCAGCAGCTCTGACTGCACTGTCTGCATTCTTCTGTCCATCAGGGCGTTTACTGCTTTTGTTGTGCTGTTTTAGTCTTAAGAAAGTAAGTCATACAGACTTAAAGAAACATTTGTTTAGTAGTTATCTTCCAGAAGGATTTGTAAATACACTGTACAGCCACTGCAGTAGCTGAAATGAATGCAAAGTATGTCCATTAATACATTAATACCACAAAACTGATGTTTCTGCTGTTTGCAGCTTCTTTCCTTGGAACTGTTTGTGTAATGCTTCTAGCTTGTCAAGCCCAGATGAGTTCATGGCAAAGACCACAGTAAGTCAGAAAGTTGTTTTGTCTCTTTTCATTGGGAAATCTGCACCCATTAGCATGATGGCATTAAACAAATGTGTTATTCTTTTTCTATGTTTATGGTCTGGGACACCAGGGATGATAAGTCATTACACAGTGCCAGTAAAGTTATTGTGATAGAATGCATTTGGCAGTACTGTGTCAATGTATTATGGTTTTTCTATGCTGTTATATTAACTGAGCGAAGGTTGGAATCAACTGCAGGAAAAGAAACATCCCCCTGTCCCTTTACTTGTAAAAATTGGTATAGAGAAACCTGTTGCCTCAGAAAAGCATTACACCCCCTAAAACAACCAACTCCAGTACTGGATAGATAGAAGTTGTTTCCAGTAGTCATGATTCAGAAAGTTGTATTTATTTAACATATATTGCCAACAGGGTTCTTTCACCATTAAACAGTGTCTATGCTGCGACAGAAGTATGTGTGTGTCTGCAGAAACATTCTATGATTCCATGAAAAAGAGCAAAGCAAGAACCCTGTGATACACAGCTAGCACCTTCTGACTGCATAAAGCTTTTTTCTATGATTTTCTTTTAGTACTTCTCCCGCTCACCTAACACATTGTGTTGGTTAAGACAGCTACATATTTATACCAAAGCAGTTTAATTATTTGTACCAAATCAGCTGAGAGAATTCCTATAGTCTTGCATGGAGCAAAAAACTGTAAATAACAGGTCGGTCTGATAATAAAATATACTCTATTAGCTAAGTTTTTCTGTATAAAAATATAATGAAATCTTGATGTTTTCAAACACAGCAAAATAAATAGTTGTGGCTGGTTTGGGGGCTTATAGTGGTGTACCTGAAATATGTTAATTCTGATGTCAGTGACATTCTTCAGAATTGGCATCAGCCCAAATCAAGTCATCTCCTAATTCAATTGCTATGTTTTGTATATCTGGAACAAATGAAGTCATTTTCCTTTGCAGCTGAGTTTTGGACAGGCAGATGTAACATAAGTAACATTCCCCATGACAGTTTTTACTTCATCTTGAACAGGCTGCAGTAGATGAAGTGACAATTTGTGATTCTGTCTGTACTGAAACCAGCCATTCCGTGTGTGTGTGTGAGACTTAGATTTGTATCACTCTCACATCTCAATCACAAGCAGATAGGAGAGAAAAAACACGGATAATGCTATCAAGAGAAAACAAAAATGTTTCAGAGTTCCTACTTTTGTCTTTTAGATTGCTGAAAGAGTGACTGAAGAACAGATGGTAGGCACGTCAGGAGAAACTGAAGTCCTCACCAGCATGGCATGCCATTCTCTTCTGAGAGAAAAGTAAGTGCATGAAACAGTACAAGTAACATTTGTGCACAGATGTTAGCAGCAAGTCACAGACACAGGTACCTCAGTTTGTTACAATGAGGACAAGACACTGGTCTTGCATTGCCTTCATGCTTTCATGTTCTTAATTTCTTTCCTGGCCTTTCTCTCATTATCAGACCAAACCTTCTACTGAGGCAAAAAAAAAAAAAAAAAAAGCAGAAAAGAAAGCAATTTTAGGTATTTCTTGTAGACTCCTTTAACCAGTTTGGATGGCTGAGGGATTTCTTTCATTCCTGAAAGCAAAGAAACAAGCAGCCTGTTACAAGCTAATATGGATACTCACTGAACTGTCTGCTGCACAAAGAATGCTTCAGTTAACAGTATACTTATTTTCTCTAAGTGTCTGAGCCTTCCCCTTCACAAGTGCAATGCGTGTCAGCTCTTACAGCAGCTAGCTGTGGAGTGGTCGAAGTCATATCACTAAGCTGCAGACAGTTCTGTCCAGGAAGTGGCACAGGCCAGAACTGGCATCATTCACTGTCTTCAGGAATCACAAGAATAGACAATATTGGGAGGAGCTGTTGTTATATTTATGAATACCAGCAAGCACAGGAAGTTATCAGACACCTAAATAGCAGACATCACAGAGTTTCTACCTGAGAATTTTTCTCTAATGTAACTAAGATTGAAGTGAAGTACTTCTACTTGAGCATACTAAAAGAGTCAGCATGATAAATACTCATTACTTGAAAGGCACTGTCACATACCTGCTACTTTCAGTACGCTGTTCAGATACCTATCAGTCAGCATCGCTATTCGGTAATGAATGCAGATAGAAAGATTTGGTTGACAGAACATAAATGCAGAAAAAATATTTCTCAAGCTTGGAGAAAATTGGCACTTCTTAAACTGGATTTATCAAGTTTATCTTGTGACAAAGTCATTTTGTTTCAGCTGAAACTTGCACATGTAATAAAGACCTTGGGAAACTTAAAATGTAACCAGTTAATAGTTCTTATTTATTCAGTGATATTGATCTCTTTAAATGCAGCATGCACTCATATTTTCCATTATAAAAATGGAAACAATGACTAACTTTTCAAGTAAGCTAGGAAGAGATTGTAGCTTCTTATTACTGTTATTTCTTTATTACTCTGTTAATTCGTTGTTTGCCAGATGCTTTACTTTCAGCCTACTCAGGCTGCTCCTGTTGCCTTCAGTTGCCTTTTCTTGGTTGTGTCCCCCAGAAAGCTATTCTTACATTTCTGTACTGGCTGTGAGCTGGCTGTGCTGATTTTTCTCAAGTCTTCACCTTGTGTTCAGATTTGATACTATCCTGTGCCCTGTAACATAAACAGCTTCTGCAGTCCCACCTTCTGTAAGTTTAGGTCACTCTTTAAAAAGAAGTCACCACTCTTCTGTGTTTCCTGGATTAGTCACTGCTCTGTCTCTGTGTAAGTTTCAGGAACGTGGTGCTTAATCTGTTTTAATAATAGTGCAGAGTAATTAATACTCATGATTCAGAGAAATACCATGCACCCAAAACACACCACCTGTACCTTTCACCTGAGAGTAGAGCACTGAAGCTCTCAGCTCCTCATTACAGATACTGATGCCTGAAGGACTGCCTCGTGCACCCGGGCAAAGACTGTTAGAGCAACACCACTTCCTTTGTTAAAGGTAATTAAAGGTCAGAAAATAACAACACACTGTTTTATTTATACTCTACCTAGCAATTACTGCCTCCTTGCAACAGACAGTGCAGTTCCCTAATTTGACTCAATTGCCTTGCTTTTTGCAGCGTGGCTAAATTAATGCTATTGCTTTCTCTCAGACATCAGTTTTGGCTCATAATGTCTTTGAAGAAAAATTAAATACTCCATATCTCACACCCTGTAGTGAATCCCTAGATGAACTTACATGTTTCCATATCTCTCCGGTCCTCTCAATTACAATAGTTTGTGATTTGTTGACGGGTGATGTAACCTTGTAGTCATCAGACAAAAGACCCAGGATAGGATACTGATTCCTGTACCTGTATTGGAAAGAGTTGCTCAGCTGTAAACTATCAAACTGAAATCTGCATACCTGCTTCCAGACCACTATCTCTGATCTTGCCCCATAATCCTGTCAGTTAACAATCTCCACATATTCTTACTAGTAACAAATTGCTAGCACTGCAATTTAAATGTCTGTAACATGTTGACCACCCCTCCATTTGCTATTACAGTGCTTAGGATTGAATCCTTCCAAATGGTTTTTACTAGGTGGAGCTTTTCCATTTTGTAAAAGTTGAACAGGCATTTGGCATTAAGACATTGGCAGGAGGTAAGGACATAGTTAATAGAAGCTATGCAATGGAAAATGAAGATGTATTTTTAAGAAAGATGAATAACTACATTACTTCTTCGTGATGATAGCTGTTACACCAGGAGACTGACTGCTTGATACTCTCTCATGCTTGAGTCTGAAGAGTTCCTGAGAAAACCAGAAGTGAACATTCAAGTAAAATAAATAATGCTTTCTGAGGTACTGGTTCACTGAAGTCACAGCAGAATCCACGCTGAAATTCTTATCGAAAATGCTCTGAAATAGTATGTATGTCCTTCCAAGAGAAGTGGTGGATTAACAAACAGTATAATTAATTTTAGCTCAGTGAATGAAAGACACGTGACTTCCTAGTTAAATTGCTATCTTCAAAGCAAGTGAGTGCTCAAGCATAAAATATTCTTGGACAAGAAATGCACTGTATTATTTTACCTCTTGCTGTTGTTTAATACAAACATCTTTCTCCTCCAGCATTGCTGTCAGTTCATGAAGCTTTATTTGCAAGTCACTGTTGTTCCCTTCTTGCCTTGATATATCTTGCTGGAATTGGCACAACTGAGACTGTGAAATACAGGTTGAGAAACAGTTAGTTTGGTGCTCCCTGCAGGTGACCTTTCTAGGCACAGAAAGTGTACAGTATACAGTAAAATCTGTATATATTTTGTTGGTTAAAATCACAAACGTCAAAGGAATGTGTTTTTTTAAAATCACAGTTCTATGAGTGTCAGTGCTATCATTAGCACTGTATAAAATAATTGCAGAACCAAAAGATACGTAAAAAGCATCTGATGGATCTTTTCTTAACTAAAAAATAGCCTGATACCTCCTGTCACAATAGGTGACAAGGGCACATATACCAATTTCATCAACATACCCTAAGGCTGCGGATCTCACGGTCTTTATCCTCTCTCAAGTTATTGATCATCTCCACATAACGGCTGGAGAGTTCATCTGTGGTAGTCTGAACTGTTGGACTGGAGCAGATCTAAAGGAAAAAAGCATTTTTTATTTTAAAGAGATTTCTTTAATATTATTTTCTTCACCAGGACATCTGCATCTGTGAATAACAGCAGCTGAACAAAGAGCAAGTGAATTACCTGTAGCTTAAGACTCTGAATCTCTTGGTCCAAGGCACGCTTGGAGTATTCCAGTTCCTTTAACTGACAGTCCTTTTCTCCTTCATTGAGTTGAAGAGAAAGAAGCTGTTCTTCCAGAGACCGACACCTGGCAGTACTATCTCTGAGTCCTTGCTGGAAAACACAGGAGTGGAATGAATGCATGGTGTTCCTTAGGGGAGTAACAGAATCACCCACACAACATATAGCCAGGCAATAATTACTTGGAATGCTCAGAAGCCAGCACAGAAGCTAGTTTATGGCTGATACTAATTATACTGAAACTATATTCTTAGATTTACCTGCTGCTGACGATTATTCTCTCTCAGAGAAGACAACATAGTTTCATATTCTTTTACTTGAGATTCTTTAAAAGCCAAATCCTTCTTAAGTAAGACATTGTCAGTTTCTAGCTTCTGTAAGACAAAAATGTTAGCTGTAAATAGCTGCATTTTTCAGTAAACTTAGTCCTAAGCGTGTTCAAAGTGCAAAATACTTTGTATTAAGTGATGAATACCCAGTTTTCTTGAAACTTTTTTTTCTTTAACTACAAAGCTCATATATGCTCATTACAGCAGTACCATGCTCATTATGAGGCTTCATATTGCAGGGTAAGCAGTGTGTCCCAGAAAGACTTTCTTATGTCTAGTTACTAAACAATTGAAGAAAAAAAATCCAAAGAGCACTTCACTGCACAGACCCGTTTTATGTCAGAGGTGACTGGTAAACCCCCTCTCTCTTCTTTAAACTTCGTATTTTACAAGAGAATGCTCTGAAGCTTCCAGAGATGTCAAGTACTGGGGCTGTCCATGAGAAATGTATCTGCTTTCCTAACAGTGACTATCTGGAACTCTACAGCCTACAGTCTACAGTGTGGTGCTTGTATGACTCAGGATTGCTGAGTTGTTAAAGGTGCCAGCTGACAGCAGCTTTTCTATAGAGTGGGAGATACATGTGAGGCAGGAAGGGAGTTGACTGCTCCTGCTTCCTAGAAGAGTGCTGTTAAGTAAAGACTCAGTGTTTATAACACAGACAGGGCATGTACAGAAATACAGTTCCAAAATGTCTCCATTGATGTAGGCACATACAGATTGTATATACTAATGCAGAGCTAAGTCTAAATCCACTCAAGCAGAGCCTTTCTTAATTTTTTTTTTTTATATATATATATATTTTTTTTTAGGCTTTGACAAACTGAACACTTGAAAACCACTGCTAGGAAGAATTCTAACCTCATTCACTGTTCAGATCTTGCAAGCCAATGAATGAACCATCCATTTTTATTAAAGCAACTAAGCTTGGACTTCACAAGTTGAATTTCATCATAATGGACATCTTACTGAGAGGCAGCAACAAATGGATGAGGCCATGGGAACTGAGAAATACAACTTACCCCCAGGTCATCCTGTAAATGGCAGAGCTCTTCACGTAAGTTTTTGAAAGTGGAAAGCACAAGTCTCAAAGATTTATCTGATGTCACTCTCATCTAGGAGGAGAAAAAATAAAATATATATTATTCTCATCAGTGAGCTTTGTTTACAATATGCTTAAATATATGTAAAAGCACAGAACTGCTATACAGCTGAAAATAACTCCTAGAACTACTGTACCCACTGTTCTTTGAAATGCACACATTTTCTAAAAAGACATTTTTAGGCACTTTGTTCCTTTTGAATTACTGCATTGTAACACACAGGCATTGAGTTTGTTAAGTAGCTAAGGAATACGATGAGAAAAAAGCCAAAAGCCATTTATAAATGGACCCAAACCAGAAGTGATATTTCTATTACCAGATACTGTAAGTGTGCCATGGCGATGAGTGCAGTTAGCAGTGTTTTTAGCCAGACCATTTGTAAAGGCAAGACCCAAGTTAGAGAGAGGCAGCATATGTAATTAGTAATTGATACCTGATTCATCACTCAGAAAGACACTTACTATATGTCTTTCGTTTCTAAAGTAAAGCATTAATATACAACATAGACAAATAAAATGATTGAAATTCAGTTTTTTCATTACTTGCCAAAAGCCAAAATGGGTTTCCAGCAAAACTGCAAGGAAGTTCCAGTAAAACAGTTTAAAATAAACAAATGAGCAGTGAAATGAACTGCTGCCTGGCACCTGAGCCATCTGTGTGATTCCATAGCCTTTAGAGAGAATAAATGGAAAAAGAATACCGAGCAGTGTTACGTACAAATTCCCTGCTGTGTTTGTGTACAGCAGCTTCTAGTGCTTCAAGTTAATAAAGACTTCCCCTCCACGTTATTTACATACCTGGAGGAGATAACGAATCTGCTGCTTTGTTGCCTCAGACAGTCCTTTGGGAATTAATTCTTCAATATCTTCAGTCTAAGCAAAGGGATGAAGAAAGAGACATCTTGATTAAGAATTTTGCCTGGTTGATCATTATGAAGTTTCTTAATTAATTACACAGCTCTGCTATGAAAAACATGTTTAGCACAAGGCAAATAAGAATGAAAATAGATCAAAGTATATCCAGAAAATTTCGAAAGTGTGGCGTATAAAAACTGAGATGAAGTGATAAATGAAGTATATATTCAAGTCTACATTAAGCTTAACATTTATTTTAAAAGCAGCATTCAAAACCATCCTCTCTTCAGAAATAGCACTTAATTCTAAAACAGAGCTTCCAGCAGTTAATGGTTATGAGCAAATCTCATATTTCTAAATAATGAAAAGACTGTCAACAAATAAATGATGACCAAAGTTTTACAGGAGATACTGACAGCCATTAAGTGGTATTGCTTCATGCAGTTTAATCCTAAACAAGCATTTCTATCACAAACGTAACGACTTTAAAAAGAAGAAAGGTCCTGATGATTGTATGCATTACGGCTGGATTCCCACAAGTGAGCAGTCAGGAAATCTAGAAAGTCATTCTGGCAACTTAAGTTCCTCTCATCACAGTGAGAGGCAGTGTTTTTTACTTCCTGCAGTGCACAACAGTGCATGTTGTGAAGCAGCTGCTTTGTTGGCAAGAGCATAAAACATCCTTTGCAAAAATGCATACTGAAAATGCATCTCTGTACGTTTGTTTTACAGTGAAACCATTACTGGTGTAACAGGAAGGACTCAAAATTTGACTCATACTGCAATAGTAATAATTATAATGCAAATTATTGAAGTTCCTTTCTTTCAGAATTATCACACTTGCAAAATGCACACCTAGCAGTAGGTTTCAGGCTCTGAATGCTATCAACAAGCAGAAATCATGAACTAGCAAAAGATCAGCATCATTCATTTAAACTTGCTTGGCCTCATTTGCTCCAAGATCCACACCATTCTTACTGAGACTTTTAGAGAACAGCTTTGTAAGAGCATTCCTGATGCTTACCTGACTGGTAAATTCGATCTCATGGTTCCTGGAAAACAGACAAAATGGAGTGGGCTGATTAACATAAGACTTTGCAGAACTTGACCACTCTGACAGCTACAAAAAGACTATCTGTCTTTGCAGTGCAGAACAAGGAAGGTTCATCATGAGATTAAGAGCCGTTACTCCTTGTACAACTGTGTGAGGAGACTGCATTACAAAGCAGCACAGTCAGCACAGGCTCTCTCTCTCTGTTTCTCTGGGCAGTCGTCCCAGTGATGGTTGGTTAACCCAGTTCTTAATTGGCTTGGGTGATGTCTTTACCCAGAACAAAGCTGAAGTTTGACATTCATCAGGTGTTTTCTTAGCAGTGGCAGGGTTTTTTGTGATGTTTAAATCCCACTCTTCCCATGCTACAGAGCAGTTACACTCATCTCAGTGAACTTTGAAAGCACCAAGTGAGGGTGAGAGGGGAGTACCAAAGTAATGCTGATTGGGAGGGAAGGATAAGGACATTGTCAAGACTCGAATCAACTTGTGTCTGTGCTCCCAGCCGTGCATTCCTAGGATTTCTGGAATACCAAAATGTCAGGTAACAGACATAAGGCCAATACCTTCCTCCAATCTTTTCCACATGCTGTAGTAAACAACTGTACAGGTCGTTGGTCTTGCGGTTCAGTTCAGCAAGGAGCTCACCAAAGTAACGGCAGTCCAGCTGGTCATTATTCTCCTGAGAGCAATTGAGTAACAGATGATAAGCAAGATGATCATAACCCATTCCCTTCCTTGGGAAGAAAGCTGAATGTGAAAATGCTAGCAACATAATGGAATTTCTTGTTTACTCTTATCAATTTGTGATTTGTTTATACTATTCTTTTCCTAGCTATTGTGTGTTCCATGTCTTCTGGTTTTCAGTGAACTATACAGAAATAAATTCTTCCTTTACAGCAACAAGAAATAGGCTAAGTAATATCTTTTTCAGCAATGTTATAATTATTATTCTAATACAGAAAGCTCAGATAATTAGTAAAACTTCCTTTAATGATCTTTAATGTTTCCATAGCTGCAGTAGTGGGCAGAATACAAGTGGACAGCACTGAGAATTTACAGAAAGGCACTAACATAAGCCACCTCTTTTTTTTTTTTTTTTTTTAACCCAACAGAATGTTAAAGCATCTCCAACTGAAGATAAAATGTTTACTCACATGAATAATAAAAGTGAAAACAGCCTAAACTGAGTTTAACTAAGTTGTTTTATTGGACTCTGTCTATGGAAAATTTCCACAGACCAATACAGAAGTCACCCAGTATGTTAGTCTTGCCCCCTGTATGTTCAACAGATGCATGGGAAGGGACTGCCACACTTGTACCCCCAACCAAAATAGTACTATACACCAACTTCCACATAAGTTATTTCAAACCCCTGCTGAGCAGTTCACATAGAAAGCAATGCTGAATTGGCCTATGTCCAGTTTATAAAGCACTTTTTACCTGCATTTTACTAAAACTGGAAAGAAGCTAAGTCTTGTATTACTCAGCCTTTGTTGTACTGACAGATGAAACCTGTCTGAATTAATGAGCAGCACTCCCAGATAAAGGAAGAAAAAAGCACCACAACAAAGCAGCAAGACTTGATGGATACACTTAAGCACTTTGCTGTTTAACTTACAGAAGGTACATAATAATTAATTACCACGCAATCATTTTGAATGTGGACATTTGAGAGCAGAAATCAGTAACTTAATCTATCTGTAAAGTTCTGTACTCTGTGTACAAAAAAATATTGTGAGTAGTAAAACATGAAGCAAACCATTCTTACCTGTTCGCAGGTTTGAACTGTCACCCTCCTCACTGTATTTCCTCTGCAGTCATCAGTCACAGAGATGGGCATTACTTCACAGGGGCTGCCAGTCTGTGTTTGCTGGCACTGCTGTGTGACTGGGGGCTGCTCAGGCTGCTGGCAGGGCTGGATGGCACAGCACTGATCAGACAGCTGTGGAATCTGACACTGGTGGGAAAATTGGTACTGCTTCTCCTAAAACAAAAACGAGTGATTTTTTGTTTTGTTTTTTAAGTTGCTGAATACATCTTAGTGAGATGAAAGCATAATAAAAATACATAAATGAATGAAAGGTGTCAAAAGACTTTCAGATATTTTAATAATGTTAATAAAATTGCTTTTTCTTACTATTTGAATATGAGTTTGCCTCATGCTATTATACTTCAGCACTGTATTTTACCAACTCCTCACATTTTAACTGCAAATGAAAGCACAGAAGACACACTTTCCTTAATTGAGCTGTATGCTTTACTGTATTGTTCCACTTAACATACTCAGGCAATAGGAACCTCCATTATTTAATTTAGAACACACATACATCCTGTCCCATTAAGTATTTTAGAGATTAAAGAGCTCCAGTTGAATTACTGAGCGTTTGTTATTTCAGTTGATATAAATGTATTTTCCAGGAAATAACTGATGACATTTTCCTCTACAAATGTTTCAGCAGTTCCAAGATCAGAGTGTACACCATAACAGCGACACATTCATCCTGTTTTTATAATCCAAGAAAATGCTGTTGGCAAAATCACCCACCCACCCAACAGGAAGCTAGTTTATGTTCCAGTCTTTGAGAGGGTGTTCTCTTCCTCAGCAAGGCAGTTCCCTGGCTGGCATTAGTTCATAAAGCACAACAAACGCTACTGTTTTTGTATTGACTGAATCTTCTTTTGCAATAGATAATAGAAATAACCAACTTACTTGGTGGGGATTTAATAGTTCATATTTTCTTATTGTCTTTTCATAGATGACATTATTTCCAGGACAGAAGTTCCCCCCTCTAAGAAATGGGGATAATGGCTCCTGTAACAGATTTTAATAAAAAGCACTCAAAGACATTGGCAGCAAATTCAGAATTAGTACAACTTTAACCAAACAATGGTGACTTTCTTTTGTGATTCAAAGTGGCACTTTAAGATAGTTTTTTTTTTTTGAGTTACCAATATTTAAGTGTGCATTCATTTCATCATCTTGAACTCAGACTTATTCTTTTGCAGTATCCATGCAGCATGCACTCAGACTCTCACCTTGCATCTCTATTTCCCTTCACCTTCCATGGTATAATGCCAAATGCACTGTTTTCTCTCACTACAGAATCCTGCTAGGCAGAAGAAAATGAGCAGGCTGTGTGCCAAAGGTGGACATTATGTCACGTTAGCTAGAGTTCATGGAGCTGTGAAATTTGTTCACTTTAAATGTTCACCCAGGCACCACTGAGACACCAGTGACCAATTCAGATAGGCCTGCAGAGCTCTGAGAGAACAGAGCCAAATACAGTACTTATCAGACCGCTTCTGAAATTGTTCGGGGTCTCAGGAATATGAAGACAGAGCTGCTGGTGTAGCTGCTGCATCGTTCAGCCGCGCTGGTCCCTGAGCTCAGGTTTAATGCGTACAGCTTGTCATGAAAGACTGCCTGGTGGGCTGCTTACAACCTCCTCTTGGAAGGAGACAGTTGTTAAGCACTCTACCTTCACAACTTCTACCCATAGATCCAGACACAAACATCTAATTCCACTCAGGAGTTTGTCACAAAAGAATTAACAAAAAAGCAGAAGGTTTTTCAAAGAGCTTTCTTTAAATCTCTACAAATTCCTCTGTCACTTTATGAACTATTCTTTTTTAAACTGATCTTCTCCATTTGGAAATAAAGCAACTGTGCTTCCACCTCAATAACATCCAAAATAAGCAGAAATTCTCTGCTAACAATATAATTGAAACATATTAATGGAGACTTAATGCAGAGAGCTGAGAAGTCCAGCTGGCAATTCTGTAGTGCTTTCAGTTCCTAATAGTTTCCTCTCCCCCAGAGGTATGGGCCTTGTGATCTCAAAATATTCAGAGTTGCATTAGAAAGGGAAGGAAACACCTTTCCAAGCTGGGGCAATTCAGGAAGGAAGAGGTGCATAGACTCCAGCAGCAAACAGTTTTCCTACCTGCTCAGGATTCTCTATGATAATCCTTCGAACAGTGCCCTGCAAGGAAGAAAATAAAGATTCAGTGATGATTGTACTTTAAAATCTTTTATGCTCAGAATTCAGCTTACATGCACTTCCTTATTAATCTGAGTATTGCCATCAGCTATAAACATACTGAGATCCATTGGCTAATATCACTTAGCAAAGTTTTAAAGCTATGGCCATTCCACCCAACAGCAAATAACCCATACACGCTATGCCACAGTCTGGATTCTCAGAAGTTTGGTTTTTTTCCTTCAATCCCCTGTTAATAGGTTAGAGGAAATCGGTCCTTATTTTCTGTAAATGCCAAAAGAACAGGATACAAATGAAAGCTAACGTGCTGGACCGGCACTTCAAGGATCTCATCTCTATTCCATGTAACACTGTCTTTAACCTGCAGTCTTACATGTCACATAAGAAGGTCAGCTTGTGCAAACTTGATGTACTTCTAAAAAAGTCTTGCTTCACCATGGGAAGAAAACATGTACTTAGCTTAATCACCAAAATAAAAGGGATCCATGAACTGCCAATAAACCAGATCCCACTATCCAGTGAACCAGCGAGTGCAGTTACTTCAAAAAGTGGCATGAAACATTGTAATTAACACCTATAAAGATGCTCACACAGAACATCTGCTCATTCTTGAAGAAAAAACAAGTACGCTTTTTTAAATTACAGAAATCCACAAATTGCAGCAGTTTTGTTCCTTTTTTACTACATATTTTTTCTCCTGCACTGTCTACTCCATCCTGCAGACCAACAAGAGAACAGTTGATGCATTCTGCTCGAAATCCCCATGTCTAGTTGTTTATCCAAGTGAGCAAAATTCCCACTGAATCTCATGTAAGCACTAGGCAATTTGTTAGTCTGCAACATGCTGTTTATTCCTACAGTGCAGACTTTCAATTTTCCTAACAAATCACTTTTTCCCTTAACCTGTGGGCTTGGAAAGTATACATTGCTTTAGTTGAGCCTCAGAGACTTTCTTAAGAGCAACTCCAAAGTAGGTCAAATTTCCAGTTGTGAACTGTTGCATAAGTTTAGGAAGCCTGAAGCAGTTTTCCAAATCTCCCAAGAGTGAATCATAACATCACCAGGGAAGACAAATCGAAGTAGAGAAGAAATTGTTTCAGCACCAATCACAGTAATTAAGAAATCTCAAAACGATAACTGGTGCAGAAAACTTGGAAAGCTGCTCCCTCCTCCTCCCGCACTCCGTGTACCTGAGTTGGGCCCTCAGGGCTGTCATGGATTTGGCTGGGATAAAGTTGCTTGCAGAGGCTCATATGATGCCGTGTTTTGGATTTTTGATGAAAACAGTGACGACGACACACTGCTGCTGAGCTGCTGCTGAGCAGTGCTTGCACAGAGCCAAGGACATTTCAGCTCCTTGCACTGCCCTGGCAGCACAGCTGACCCAAACTGGCCAAAGGGACATTCCATCCCACATGGCATCGTGCTCAGCAGCAAAAGCTGGCGGGAGGGAAGAGAAAGGGGGGACGTTTGGAGCAATGGTATTTGTCTGACCACAGAACCACTACACATGAAGCCCTGCTTTCCTGGAGGTGGCTGAATACCACCTGCCTGCCAGTGGGAAGTGGCGAATGAATTCTTTATGCATTGCTTGTGCTGGGCTTTCATGTTACCCAACAGTTTCTGTTCCTCACCCTCTTGCTCCTCTCCCACCCCCTGGGGGATGGCTGCAGCAAGGCAGTGCAGGACAAAGCCCCCTGAAATCAGCACAGCTCTGAATCACAACCTGACACTGCAACAGGACCACGGGGAGCAGGGAGCACATGGCCCCAGTTCTACATCTCACTGACACCTGAGCCAAAACAAAAAGTAAAATACTGAGCAGACAAATCCACACATTAACCACAACACTGCAGCAAGGCGACCAAGGGTCCTGCTGTGTGCCTTGCACAGCCCAGTCTCCTCTTCCACACAGGAGCTCCCACAGCGACACAACTGACATCAAAGGAAAATAGATGCTTGTTCTTCTTCAGCCTTGGCTATCGTGGTGTGGCACATGAAAACAAGATGAGCATTGTCTACAAAATGAAAGGGCACATTTTCAATGCAGTGTAAAGCTGTACAAACCTGCCTGATGTAAATGCCACTGCCAAAGGACTTTGGAATATGTAACTCATGCTATCTATTTCAGGAAGGATAACTTGTAAATTACTGTACCTAGGCACTTATGTGCTCTCAGAGCAATAAATTCAGAAATCAGAAGACTAACAAATTTTAAGTTAGAATACATTTTTAATCTTGTAGTATTCAAAAAGGATGGTATAAATCACACACAGAATAATATACAGAACCTAGGTTTGTCTGGATAAAATGACACCTATTTGTAAGGCACCCAACTCTCCCTTCTGGCATGCTCGGATGCAGACACACTTCCCTCGCCCCGCGGCACAAGGGCTGTGCCTGCTCCCCTCCCAGACCAGCCCAACAGGCCCAGCCTGTGCCAGCCAGGAGGGAACCCCAGCCCCAGGAACGCTGCAGCCCAGTGCCAGCCCCAGCCCAGCTCGCTGGGACACAGCCCCAGGCTGCCGCAGACCTCTGCTATCCCCAAGGGTACATCTGGGGTTCTTCTCCTTAAGCCTTTCCTGGGTTTCCTACAGTGCTCAGAGGTGGGACACCCTGTAACAGAAGGAGGAAGGTGAACGCTATGCTGGCAGGAGAGCCCAGTGCTGCCACGGATCCCAGTGTCCGGATTGGGACTGGGATTTGTAAGGATGGGACTGCAGTTCTGGGTCTGCATTTACAAGGGTAACTTCAAAAGGCAAACATCAGCTCTTTCACAGTGACGGCTGCTTGTCTTTACAATTACAAGATCTTAAAATAGGTCTTTGATAGATTTATCCAATCACTGTGCGCAAATTTTAGGGGAAAAAGTTATCATTACACTGACCTCTACATCCAACAATTTCCCTTCAGCTTCTGACAAACTTGTGATTATGGTCAGAATTCCACCAACACCAAACCTTTTCTATGTAGCATACTGTCTCATTAATTACAAACAACCCATCTAATCGGAACTTCAGAATTACATCTGGCAGCTGAAAGAGGGAGGCCACCTCTGGGGATCGTTGCAGTGAATACAGAGAAATCCTACAACTTAGCTGACACCACAGTAACACGGCACCATCCTCACAACGGGAGGCGAGAGCCCTCCATGCTGCAGCACTGACCTGACCATGGAAACCTCGCAGAGTTCCTCACGAGTGGACTATTGCAAATCCTTTGGGAGTTCTACTCCTACCTACACCAAAAACAGACACCTCACAGCAAGAAAATTTATGCTGAGCACTATTCTCCATTTAGTTCAGGCAGATGAGAGCAAATTTGCCTTCAATTACTCCAAATGAAACCTGCCACGGCTGGGAGTAGCACTTGGCTTCTGCATCAAGGATAAAGCAAAGTTAGGTCCCAAAATCTGGGAAGCAAACTGAATCCTGAACACTCTGTGACCACAAAAAGCACTACGACACACACTGTGCACACGTTACTTCCCCCTCCCCCTCTGGCTTATTAGCAGCGTACATAAACTGAACAGGGGATGCCAACTATAAGACTGAATGCTGTGACAGGGTATCAGTAGTGATGATATAATCAATCCACAAAAGCTCTCCAAAAGCAAATTAAATATTGCTCAAAGAAAACCCCTTTGCTTATCAGTGGTGAGAAGATTAAACTCCGGCTTTAGGCTGCCGCTAACTGTGATTTGAGAGTTGAGTTATGATATCTGCAGGAGGCACGCGATGCTAAGCTATTTTGTTCATGTGGCTGTACAGGATCTGCTCCACGGACAACAGAATCCACCACAGAAGTGCTCTTCTGGGCACAGCTCTTTACCAAACGCTTTCCCCCAAAACCTCTCCTCAGCTGCAGTCAGCACCAGGCACACAGCTGCCGCCTGCTCCCAGCGGGCTTCGTCGTCACCCTTCTCTTCCTGAGTAACTTCCCAATAACCTCTGTTAGCCATCCGCCCCCTCTGCCATTACAACTGCTACCCACACAAAACCCAATCTGAGCTACACCCTCTTTTGTCTTTAAAGTCTAATCCAGCAAAACACTTCAGCAAGAAAACATTTTTCTCAGCACGACTTAATGGACTCAGAGACCGTAACAATTGCTGAAGATTAAACGCACTTGGTAGCGCACAGACAGCACTCGAGTCTGCAACCAGATGTCGGTGCGCCCATCCCAGCAAAGGACGCCCGGCACTCTGATGAACGTGACGTTACTCGAAGACAGCCCGCACCGCGCAGCCCAGAACACCGCGTCCCACCCGCGGCGCTGCCCGGCTCCCAGCGGCCGCCGTGCCCCGCAGGAGTGGCAGCCGTTCTCCGCAGGGCGCCGCGGGACGGGCGGGGGGTGGCGGCGCCCGGCGCGGCTGCGGGCGCCAGGAGGGCGGGAGCGGCCCGGAGCCCGGACCGGGCGTCGCGGCGGGGCACCGCTCTGCTGACGGGACGGGCAGAATGGGCACAGCAGAAAAAGTTACCTGGAAGTTTGTCGGGTTTCGCGTGTTTTTGTTTTTAAAGTGAACTGGAGTTACCAAACAGGAACCAAATGCGAAACTGATGCGAACGAAAAAAAGAGGCGTAAAGGGAAGCGTACGGGGCTGAAGCGCGTTACCTGCAGGCGCCGCCCGCCCGCTCCTCCCGCCCGGCAGCCCCCGCTGCCGCTCCCGCCGCGGGCCAGGCGGGCCCCGGGCAGCCCTCCGGGGCGCGCGTCGCGTGAGGGAGCTTCGGCGGAACGGCCGAACGTATCTGCGGGCTACGGACCGCGCAGCCGCCTCTCCCCGCCCGGAGAAGCCGCACCTCCCGGCACCGCCGCGGAGGCGAAGGCAAAGGGCGCGGCCGAGGGGCGGCTCGAGGCGCTCGGCCCCGCTCCGCGCAGACGGCGGCCGCCACCCGAGCGCGCCCGTACCTGCGGCGGCGGCTGGCAGCCGGCGCTGAGCTGCTGGTGGCCGTGCGAGCGCTCCAGCGGCGAGGCGGCGCGGGACGAGCAGGACGCGCCCGCCCGTCGGCAGCCGGGGCCGTAGGTCCGCACCCTGTCGAACGCCGGGCCGCCCTCCTGGCGCTGCGGGGCCGGCGGCTCGAAGCAGGGCGGCGGGAGCGGCGGCTCGGGGCGGGCGGGCGGCTCGCGGCACGGCGGCGGCTCCGGGCACGGCGGCGGCTCCGGGCACGGCGGCGGCTCGGGGCAGGGCCGGCGGGGGGTGGGCAGCGTGCTGTAGTGCTGCTGGCGCCGGTAGTAGTGCTGGTGCTGCTGCTGCTGGAGGTGCGGGGGCAGCGCAAGGGGCTGCAGCTGCTGCTGGCCCCCCAGCATCCCGGCCGCGCGGGCCGCGCTCGGGGAGCGGCGGCTCGAGGCGCAACGGGGCGGCGAATGCGGGCGGGCGGCGGGGCAGGGCGGCGATTAGTACCTGCGGGAGGGCCGCGCCTAGGGCGGGCCGCACCTGCAGCCCGCGGCTGCCTCCCCCTCGCGGGGCGGGCGGGCGGCGCTGCGCTGGGGCGGCCTCGGGGAGCGCCGGGCTGCAGGGACAGCGCCCGCCGAAGCCTCCCGCTGAGAGAAACGCGGAGTAACGTAAAGGAGCGGGCTGCTGGTTTTCACCCGTGCTATTAACCTTACAGAGGGACTAACGCGAAGCTCGTCCGTAAGAGAGAAGGCTGGAAACTTACCCAAACTGTCCCTCTGTAGAAAGTATACGAACTCGGGTTAGTTTCTCAACACAGCACTTTTCGGTTTGGGCTCCTGTATTGCATTACCCGAGTCAGGCAAGCCCTATCCAAGAATGTAATTTTGTTCTGCGTGGTAACGTTGTAACAACATAATTATATAATATTGTGTAATAAATACAATCCTTAATAATAAATCGTAGGTTCTTAATTTTGTCAGTTTCCCCTGCGTGCCTCCTGCGCTTTCAGGTCACGCGGCACAGCCACACAATGGCAGAAGACCCTTGACAGCAGAGCATTACTCTGCGTGGCGTGGCAGTGACATCTGGAAAAATACTCATCAAAAAATAAAGGTTCCCTTAATCCTCTGTCATTAAACCCAAGCAGACATGCAGTTTATCTAGGAGAGTATTTAAAACCAAAGACATTTGGAGTAAGTTCTGTCCCACTGGTTTCAAAGGTGCTGTGTGCCAGAAGAAACAACGTACCCAGACAGAAGAGAAATACACATTTTCTCCTAAAGCCTCATTCTCGGTTCACCAGCTTAAAAAAACTATTGATGGCTTCTGACATAACAATTAAAAAAATCTCACAGAAAGCAATAACGTATGGTTACAACAGCCTGGTCTCTGTTTTTACACAAACCATTAGAAATTGCTTTATGCTTCAGTAGGAAACCACAGAAACTACAGTAATACTCCTCCAGGAAAAACAAGAGCTGTGTAATGTATCACATAGAAAACAATTAGTTAGCCAGCTCAGGAAACATTACCAGCCTGCAGTATACTTCCCTGTTTAATAAAGAGTGGCTTGGAAATTTCTTACAAGGGTCAGCAGAAAGAAAAGCCTAAGTCATCCTATTGTAATGGAAATAAAAAATAACTTCCGGAAGAGTTTGTAGATGTGGCAAGGATTATTGCAGTCATAAATCATAACAGTAAGTAATACATGCAGGATAATCTGTACCAGTTAATGAGGACCTCAAAGTGCATGGATTTTAATCTGACAAAAGTTTTGTATACATCAAAAACAATGTTCCGTTCTGTATCACAGTTATCTGTTAAGTGAGTTCTGTTCCCACTCTGATGACTGTGGTAAGAAGGAATAAAACTGTGTTTTGATAAAATATGAGAGAGAAATACTTGCCTGGGAAGAGGCCTGCAGAAGAACACATCATATCTCGTTGTCTACACTTAAATTTTTTTATTGTTTTTTTCTTTGTAGGGGAACAGATATCTAAACAACATGGGGTCAGGAAACTGAAAGGCTTGAGAAGAGAGGGTTAAGAAGCCAGCAAAATGGCAGGGAGCTGCACAGCCATAACTTGATGAGGCCAGAGATAAAAATCTGCTTTCAAGTGTAAGGGAAAACTTTAGAGACTGAAGAGGAAGTTACAACCAGTTAGTAAGTAGAGGCTTTGGTTTTCTGATCCACCCTTTGAAGGAAGAGCAGTAATGCACTGGAGGCTTGGTGGAAGGTGCCTGTCTACAGACACTGATCCAGATAGCTGGTGTAACACTTCCCTTTAAACTTGACACTCACAAATTATTTTCAACTTCGAGTATTTCATTAGCACAGTATAGAACCATAGGTTTTCCAAAGTTGGAAAAGACCTTCCTACCTACCACCAATATTTCCCCTCTAAACCACATCCCTTAGTACAGACCTACATGTCTCTTGAACACTTCCAGGGACAGTGACTCAAGCACCTCCCTGGGCAGCCCATTCCAGTGTCTGAACACTCTTTCTGAGAAGAAATCTTTCCTAATATCCAACCTGAACCTCCCAGGCACAACTTGAGGCCATCCCCTCTATTCCTACTGCTAATTACATGGGAAAAGAGGCTGACTCCCACCTCATCACAGCCTCCCTTCAGAGAGCTATAAAGAGCTATAATGTCTCTCCTGAACCTCCTCTTCTCCAGACTAAACAACCCCCCTTCCCTCAGCTGCTCCTCACAAGACCTGTGCTCCAGACCCCTCACCAGGTTCACAGCCCTTCTCTGGATATGCTCTTGTAGTGACAGACCCCAAACTCATGTTTTCTCATTACTCCAATCTCACATATAAGGACTTGTTTGATACCTTGAATTCAGGTAAACTCCTTGCACCCACTAAGTCCTCTGGAAAGAACGTTCAGCAGATCTTCCCTCTTGCATTAAGAACCTCCTTTCGAATTTGACTCCTGGTTCCGCAGCCTCCGGTTCTTCCATATAACTTCACAGCTTCGAACTTAAGCCCTCTCTTCCAGGCTAGAAAAAAAAAAAAAAAAGCAACAAAAACCTATTCAATCTTCTTCATACAGATGTTATTCCATATCTTGGATGATTTGTGCTCTTCTCCCTTCCATATTATTCCAAAAGTGGTAAAATCATGGATTTAAACAATGGTGCAGCGATGTTTGTTCTTCTGTTCTGCTTCCTTCTTAATAGCTTCTAATGTTTCACTTGCTTTTTTTGACTGCCGCTAAGCAGTTATCTGCCACAAAGTCTTGCACTAGAGCAGTAATAGGCAGTTCTTTGGGTCCATCACTTTACATGTTCCATGTCAGCATTCCTGTAATCCACGACGACTGTATGCACTGTACTCTATGTTGTATTTCAACAATGCACTGTACTCTATGTCGTATTTCAACAAGGGCCCTTGCAGTGCATAGATAGCAAGGCGGGATCTGAAATGGTTCAAACGTGATTTCAGAATTTTACACCTCTTCATACATTACAGTGCTTCAGTGGTAAGAAAGTTCAGCAAGAAGGTTAAACAGAGTTTAGGCTATGTTTTAAGGGCTGTCACGGTGCTGGCAGTAACCAATGATCAGACCGTAAAATGAACTGTTGCAAGACTGAGGGAAAACTCATTAATTTTTCTTGTAAAAAAATTATGTGGTATCAATTACAGCTTCATGTTTATACATTTCAAAAAGAAGATGAAATTATTTGAATATACAAACAAAAACAGACTTAAAAATTGAATCTAATGATTAGGAGCTAGGATGATTTATCATCCAAAATTATCATAAACATGCAAATATACCCTTCTATTTCTGTTGTACCAGCAGGTGAAAAATAATCTTTGTGCTATAGTAAAACTGTAAGCAGAGCAACAAACAAAAATTCAGCACAGAATCACTTTGTTTTATAAAGACACTGTTTTTGTGATGGCTATCAGTATCTTCAGCAGCTCAAAAGCCCAAGAGATTGTATTTCATTCCATGAAGTGAAATAATGCAATACTGTACTTACCCATAAGCAGAAGTTATTCTTTTGTTCCAACCATTTTCCTGTTTAAATTGTTGAGGTTATTTAATAGTCAATTTGCTTTGTTTCAGATAATTAATACTATGCATGAGATTGGTGATCAAACCAAAAAAACACGCTGAGCAACATTTCTCCTATCCATTAAAGACCTTATTCAGCATGCTGAAGAGTGGCTGCCTCATTTTAATGAAACACTGTCAGTCATCATTTACCACATACGACTGCAATACTAACTTAGGAATAAAACAGGATATGCTAAGTACAGAACTGTATCCCTCTTTAAGCCTTCGTACACACTAAGCAGCAAAAGATGATGGTAAGTGTATGTCAGGAATGCTGCAAGAGCCCACTGATATCCATATTACATGACCAATTTTAATTTATAGTTCTGCGATGCTCTAAAGAAAACTGATAATGGAAAAGGGCCTGCAGTCATATGGAACACAGCAAGGTAACAGTTGATCTGTGGAGCTGCATATATTAAAGGAAAGATATTACGTTCATTATGACCAAAGAGCAGGAAATGAGTTTAATTCCAAAACAGTAATTTGCATTTCCCTGTCCTGGACAGACTGCCTAAGGAACAATCCTCATTAATAAAGGAGATAAAGGAGTTGAGATTGTGACATACTTTAAAATAGATGTTAGTACCCAGGATTCTAGGGAGAACAAGATTGGGGTCTGGGCATTTGTTTATTTATCTTTGCTTTTACTTGGACCTGTCTAAAAATATGTCATAAGAAAAGCTGGTCTGTCTTTAAAAATCAGAAATCATTAAGCAAATAACAGAAGAACATTTGGGATTTGTCTAAGTTTGAAGTTTATATAAAACTACTAAAAGCAAGGGAATGCCTTCTCGTTATGGGATGCATTTTTAAAAACACTGTTTTTACCCCAGTAACCTATGAAAAAGAAATAATGGTTTAAGTTGCACTTTATTTCAGATGCAGTTATGTCCACATTTTTCAATTGCTACAAAATGTCTATGGCCAGGTATGAAGGATGATGGGAATTTAAAACTACAAGTATAATTAATAGAAAGTTCTACGGACAATGCATGTCATTGCAATATAGAGATTAGAACACTATCTAAATTGCTCTGGCAACCTGCTCACAGAAACTGGAAGAGGGGCAGCTCCTCCTGCTTCATACTACCATGACCACACTTCTAGTATTGAAACAAGCTAATGGAAATACACGTGATTTGTCTCCATGTTGTGGCCTTTCCTTTCCTTTACACCATATTGTTTGGCTAAATGTATTTTTAAAATTATGATTTAAAAGCATTTATCCTTTTATTATGAGATTTCAATTTATATCCTTGGAGCAACCTACAAACTTTGCTATATTCCTATATCATACCTGAAATTTTAACTATTTCTGTGAGTATTGAATTTATGCTCTTTTGTCTGTATGTAATATGGAAAATTTGCCTGGTTACAGGTACGTTTACCAATCCTTTGGTTTTGCTTTTTAAAACATTATTATTTAAAAGCAAAACATTCTGCAGAATTTTACTAACTGACACTATTCGATTCAAGCCCTTCCGTTACGTTTATCTATGAGAAATCTTAAATTTCTAATCTGTCTCTTACTGGTCAAGCAAACAAACAAGAAACAAACTTGATGGCACTTTATTTTCCACAGACCTGTAGTTGCTTCTCTCTGATTTCAGAAGCAGAGCTCATGACAATCCTCCCACATCTGTTTCATCAGCTGATTAAAATGTAGATCTCCTACAAGGTAAAACATTTTTGGATGATGGGCGTTACTCAAACCAACTCCTTAGTAAGGGAACAACTTTATGCAAGATCAGCAAGTTAGCAGCATAAACATGAAACAGTTCTTTTAAGCAGGACTTGATATTTTGTTTTTGAGAGCTTTAATTTAATTGAAAGCTCCATGACTTCTATTACCCGTTCAAGCATAAATGTTTTTGTTACATTTAAAACCTTTTTGCAGTACAGACTCTTAACCTAGATGAAGAAAGATTTCAAAGATTTCAGATAGGAACCTTGCATAGAGTGACGAATATTTGGTTTTCTGATTGTGCTGTGGTGTGTGCTGGAATACAATGAATTTTTTTTAATTTAAAATAAAAAACATTGAAATTTTAATTTCATTCTTCAAAAAAAAAAAACTATCAAGATTGTCTTGCTCGTAGAGATTGACTGTGCTATTACATCTAGCTTTATAACTACTTCTAATTACATTTCAAACTGGAGAAGTAAAAATAAAACATTTGAGTAAAATGTATATTTTAATTTCACAATTTGAAAGGTTATATTTCTAAGCCAGAACTGTTGAGGATTCTTGAGGAAGGCATTTTCATTTTGACCCAGTTCCACTAACTGTCGTTCTCAGACTTTTTCACTCATGCCAACTGGAAACAGCAGCTGGCCAATCTGTTTTGCCCCTCTACTCAATCACAAAACAATAATTAATTGTGCTAAATTACAGCTAAGCTTATGCCATGCTGCTAGTAAAAACAGTCAAAACAGTCACTCTCTGTCTCAAGCAAATATTCTTTACCTAGTGTTAGAAATAGGCTTTGGGAAGCAAAAACATTAATCCTGCAACTCTTTTTACTTCAGTATCTCCTCACTCTTAATTATACACAGAAAATGGAAGTTGAAAGTGAATGATCAATGACCGGTGCATGAGAAAAATGAACAGAGCATTCCTGATGGAACAGCAGGAATTCTGCCATCCAGTTCTGTTAGAACTGAAAACAAGTGTGCTAGCCAATTCTCTGAAAAGAGTACTAGCTTTAGAATCTGAAACATCACACTGATCTGCCAAACTTCTTTAGCTTTAACATTTCAGGAATCATGTATGCATACAGCAGGGGAACATACAACTCACCATTTTTGGGGTAACTATTGTAATTCTGACCAAGAAAATATTTTCTAATCTTAAGTCTTTCACTTAAGATGACTCTTCTTACAACTTCTGTAAATTTTGTTCCAGATCAGAGTTCAAAAGTATCATGCAAAATGATATTTTGGTTCTACAGGTGCAGCCCTTCCCAAATGCCTTCTGAAGACATCCACATTCATTCAGGCTGTACATGATTCTCAAACAGTTTACTGCGATACGGAGATTTATTCTTTTCCTGTGAATAATGTGATACTTCGCACCTTCCTCCAAGTGAGGTCTTTTCATACTTATCCCATATAGGATGACAGAATAAGAACGAAGTTCACTGAACAGTGAGAGATTAAAGAACCTCAGCTTTCACTGCCTCCTGGTTCCCCACTTAAAGAAGCTTAACAATCATCCTGTCGTCCCAAGGTGATGTTACTCTGTGCAAGCAGCACTCTAAAGAGGTACCCTGCTGTGGAACACTGATGATTTACATATGTATGTAGGTTTACATGTGCACAAAAATACATGCTGTTGTTTAAATCTACATTAGCTGTGGTTTTTATGGTTACATCAGAGTCTACACTTTCCACTGAAATGTTTTTCTATCGCATCTAAATATTACTAGATTCTATTTTCTATATTAATCTATTCACATGTAGGTAATACTTGAGCTTTCCTGCTCTTCCTTCTGTTGTTTGGCTCAAATTTAATTGTTCTTTTATTATTATTTTTATTTGTACAGAGATGTCCTTACCTGAGAAGCTATGAGGGTAATCAATTTGAGAAACTTATACTTCCTTTGCAACAGAGAGATTGGTCATCCATGCTTATTTACATTACCTGAGAAACAAGATGTTTTATTTTAAGATAAGCATATTGGGGAAGTTTTCTCAACTGAAAAGAGAAAGATAAATAAATAAGATGCGGCAAGTATATTTGAGTTCTTTGTCTGAGTGTGTGGCCTATGTCACACCTGGCTTCATTGATTTATCAACTATTTTTATCAGCCATTAAAGGTACCAGTAAAATTCCCACCTCAACAAATCATAACCATTTGAATTAAATCGGAAAAGATGTCTCTCCCATTCCCAGCATCCCAACCACGCTGTCAGGAAGATAATCCACAAAGTAGAATGAAACCATGTCACAGCAAAGAACATGGCTAAAATCAGCTCAGTGCAGTAGAAAGAGATGTGATTGCAGATAGTAAGAATGAAGTACACAAAACATTAATTCTGTGGTCAGTGCAATTTAAACTATCACCTCCAGAGTTCTTAACTTAATAAGTGCCTTATTATCTCTTAATTGCAAGTTGGCTGATAATGCAGCTGATCAATTATAGGAGGTAATCATCATCAGCCTTTCATAAATGACGCATCAGTTATCCATCTATCCACCTATCACACTTTCTCGGAGACGTGGCTGATCTGTGAGCACCCAGTCTGCAGTTTTACGAGTCAAGAAGAGTACTGGAAAATCACCAACTATCAATAATAAGTTTTTATAATGACAGGAGCAGAAGAAATAGAATGTTCTTTAGGCAGGGGTGACTAGTTTAAACCAGTTCTGCAGGAAGCTTCAAGAGTGCTAATGTGTGACTACAGAAAAGAATGGGAACCAAAGCTTGATATAAGGCACGTAATGAATAATGGTATACAATCAGCTTCTATACACCCACAAGGTATCTAAATTTATAAAATATACACACCATTGGATAAAATTTAAACGTATTTCCCATTATTGAAGTATAGTAGCCAATCTACTACAACACAGGACCATATTGAGATTGAGTAGACCATTCTGTTTGTTAGAAACTTACCAGAATGTGCTGGTATTTATATCTCATAAAAGCTGTTCAGTAAACACAGTACAAAGACCTCTGATAGCACGGAATGCATAAACACATGCAGAGAATTTCATTCCAAGATTTCGGACAGGAGGGAACTATCTCTGTCAAATGAGCTTAACCACCCTTCCCCTGGCTCAGTGAGTTAAACATCTTTCCACTTAGAAAAAGTATCCTGGCTTAGCAGATAACAATTTCAGAGATCCAAATGACAAAGTCAGAATTTCCCTATGGCATATACTTTTAAGAGGAAATGAAGGATAGCTTCCTAGAAACAACAGTTGATTTCTGTGTGTGGCTTTTTTTTCCCCTCTCTCTACTAATTAGATTTTTCAGGGGCAGGATTTTGTGGAGGCTAAACTGGACGCTGTTCCTACTACATTTCTGTGCAGAGTTATGTATGGTTGCAGTTTTTCTTTATTTTGCCTTTTTCATGACAGTTCAAATATGCAACAATGACATTTATAATTTAGTTCATTTTTTAAAGATCCTTTGTTAGTCTTAAAATAAAAGTTAAAGACGACTACAAAACACCATGATTATCTTTGTTCCATACAACTGCAAAACCTGATTCTCCAGGCCACACAAACTGAAGAGTTATTAAACCAATAAACCTCACAGAAAAAAAGAGAAGTATATCAGGGTCATAGATGGGAAAAGGAAAACTCTAAGTTAGCATCTGTTGAGGCTGAAGAGTAATGAGGCACACTTTTTTCTTTCTCGGCTCATAGACAAGAGGAGGAAGGAATCTTGAGAAGTCATTTCTCTTGTGCCAAAGCAGGATCAGCTATACCTAAAAGCTCCTTAAGGTTTGTCAGTCTCTTTCTAGTAACAACATTACCTCTGTAGAAAACTGATTCCAGTGCTGAACTGTTTTCATCAGAATTTTCTTCGATTTTATTGTAAGTTTTCCCTGCTGCCACTTAAGGCCATTATTTATAGAGTCACTTGTAGTGGATAGAGAAAAGTGCTTATTACTTTTCCTTTTACAGGTTCAAGAATGTAAGACTATTAATAGAGTTACTCCGCTCAAAGTATCTGCTTAAAAAAAAAAAAAAAACAAAAAAAAACAAAGACCACCTAGAAATACCTGAAAGTAACAAAGAGTAACACAACAAACTTGGTAAGTCATCACCCTTTGTGCAAACCAGACACACTTGTTTAGAATTAGTCAGGAGTTGCAAAACCCAAGAAAATCCAGAAATCTCTATTCTTAGCCTGGAAGCTGTTTGGGTTTGCTAAAGAGGGTACGAATCACTTCATGACAGACAGCATGTTACAGAGCTGAGTGCCCTGGGAGAGGTCACCTTCCTTCCAGGAAGTCTACAATGGACTGCTAAACCAGGAACTAGAGTCTGTTGTTATTTAAATAAAACAAAGCAAAACAAAAAAAAAAAACACACCACAAAACAGTCAGAGCCCCCATCACAAAACTAAAGCAGAGGGCTTTATTCTTACTAGCTGTCTTCAGAAAGGATTTGAGGATGATATTTAATTTCAAGTTTAAGAATCAATAATTTATATACAAGATAAAGGCCAGCATAGTGCCAGAATTCCTGAAGACAAACAATAAAATGCAAAGTTGAGAAACAACTTTTTTTCCCCTCTAAAAAGGAAAAATAAATCTGTTTTATGTTCTGCATCGTCATTCTCTCTCTGAAATTCTGTATTACAATTTATGAAAGTTACCTGCTTGGGGATACAATATGATCAAAATTTGAATAATGAATCACGAATTTGAAAAGGTTTTGTCACTACTGATTGGGTTAAAGACTGAGCAAAATACAGCTCAAAAGGAAAGCAACTGAGCTGACAAGAAATTACTTTATAGGAATTCATACTGAAAATATAGAAAAAATGCAAAATAAAACAATTTGACGCATAAGAGACCTTCCTACTAAAATATTTGTAGGTAATTTTGTAATTCACATGCTTATAGTTCCGATAATGCTGGAAGAATAGAAGAGATTGTGCTGTGTAATTTGCATCACTGACTAGAGCAGAACTAAGTATTTCAGAACACAAAGTTTTGGTAGAGATAAGTGACGAGGTGATTTTACATTTTCTCAGATTCAAGCAGTTTTGATTTGTAATCTTGGAATTGTTTTTGAATGGATGTCAATACACAGGAATCTTGTGCAAGCATTTAAAGCAAGAATTATGGTTATACAGCAGGAAGAAGGTGCTTTGTAGGGTGGAGTTAAACTTCAAAGACAGTGAAATAAAGAACAGTCATCGCTACACCTAACAGCTGTCCTTCTATTGTAATTAAATAGAACATTCATTTCCAAGTGTTATGACATTTAATCAGCTGTATAAAAATAATAACAGTAATAAGAATGATAAGCGTCATCACCAAAGTTGTTATGAGAGCAAATGGAGATCACATGTCCAGCATTTCTAAAAGTTGTTACAAGCAAAGTGTTTCACTTTGTACTGTCCAAAATATTTTCTTGGAACGTATCCAGATAAGCTTCTTTCTTCAAAGGGAAAATTTGCAACAAATTCCACAGATATTATTCATTAAACAAAACAACCATACTCTGTCATTGTACTGAATCTATGTATCCACATAAAGACCTGACTTTTTTCCTGATTAGAAGCACACTTCCTTTCTTCAGCAGTAAAGTAATTCTAAATAAACTCTCTTCTAATAAATGGGTGCTTTAAACTTTATACCCCAGACTGAGTAGAACACTAAAACTGTAAAGAGATGTCAGGAATGTAAAGTAATTTGATCAATTTTCCATGTTGTAGAAAAGAGAAGGAAAAAAAGATGCTAGTCCTGAAATATTTGGGGTGGAAAAGAAGACTGACCTCTATGGCAGGTTTTTGTATCTGCTTTTAAGTGGCTTTTTATGGGCAATCAAGTACTGGCACCATACTGGAACCTTTCAAGCTTTTCTAGGGTTGCATGGCTTATAGAAAAGGGTCAGTGTAGTCCACTGGAGCTATACTAAAACTACAGCCACAAGTGACAAGTGCTGTTTTGGTTATGACAGAGCTGACAGAATGATACATTCTCATCCTTGTACATTTTCAGTTCCCTACGGCATATCTCAACTAGGTAATTGATATGGATTTTGTTTGTTGCAAGGTTTTGTGAGTTTGTTTTTCAGTGAGTCACTGAACAAACTCAAAACCCATCAGCGATCCCCTTGTTACTGCTTAAGGAATCCTTTTGTTGACTATTCTTGGAAAAATATCTGTTATGTTCAAGTCAGATTTCACAAGAGGATAAAAATAGTAATAGAGGGGAATCTTTAGAAGAAACCATCATACATCTATTTCTAAATACAGAGATGCAACAGAAGCTCATGTCTTAATTTCAAGAACCACCTTGCAGTAGAGAAAATTCATTCTTAGAATGAAAACAAAGAACGTTGTCACAAAGAGCTGCAAGTGCCACTGGTCCACGTAACCAACCAACTGTGCTTCTGCATATTCTACATACTTGTCCATCACTCCCTTTGATATACTTGAACACCACTAGATCTGCAGCTGGCAATTATCAGCTCCACCCTAATAATTCCTATTCCCCACCTTTCTCAAAACAAAACAAAACATTTTTCAATTTATTTTGCAGAACTGCTGATTGATTTCCCTTTCATACATTCCTGCCAGACAGACAGTGACAGTAAGGAATTTTCTACTGAGCTGGGTCTTATCTTCAGAGTACTAATTTTGCAAAGCAGTTATCTCTAACCCCTTCCTAACAAAGTCTAATTAATTTTTTTTCCTGTATTATTATGTTCATAACAGCCAAATGATAGTCCTGACGGCATGAGCATTTTCACTGGATGTTATACACTCTTTCCCACACTTTGCAGTGACATTGTATTTGTTAGTTAGAACAAACCCAGATTGTTCCTGGAACTGTGCCTATAGAAACTACTGCAGTAATGTGTTTATATGATATATAATTACAGGCATGCTGTAACCTGTCCATAGCCACTGCAGAACAAGTTACATTATCAAAAACATAAACCCATCCCTCAATTAACTATTCAATCTGATATATTCTTTCTTCAATAGTTAATGTTAAATAAATTAAATGAACACAAGTTACATTTTTGGGGCTGAAATAGAAAAGACAGCAACTATATGATATTCCAAGCATTCTCAAAACTACTGAACACTCCCTAATGCAATATGGATTTCAAGCCATTACGTCCCAAGATGAGGCCACTTAATATCAGACATTTGCATTTGAAAATTCCTGCCAAAACAACAAAGTTGTTACAGGAAAAAAAATGTTACTCAACTACCAAGTCATGGTATTAAAACAGATGAGCCTGAGTACTCAAATATAAATTCTAACATTTGGTTACAATCCTACCAAGCAAGAGATTATTACTATATGCTTTGATATAAGGGGTTTTATTACAGATTTTTAATCTATAATAGGCTTTAATCTTTCTCAAGATAATCAGAAAGGTGTTTTTATAGAAATAACATTTTAATTAAACAGAATAGTGGAGTCTGTGAAGGCTCAGTTATCAAAGGAATATATTTTGATGCACTTCACAGACTTTAGTTTCATTTCTTACTCAGTATGCTACGTTTTCTATTTTCCTGAGGAAAGTTGTAAAAACGTGGCTCTAATTTTCCTTTTGTGCATCCTTTTTTTCCCTCTTACACTTTTATTCCAAAAAACAAGATATCAAGAAGATATTTTAAAATCACAGTAATACATACAAATACTTTTTATTCTATACATCAAATATCTCTTAAGTGATGTCTAGGACAGATTTGTACAACTCTTCTTCAGTAGCATCTATTGAGCTTTTTTAGTATGTTATTGTATAACCTGTTGCTGTGCATACACCATAACAACACAGTTAAAAAGCAGCCCCAACAGTACTGTTTTGTATTGCATTCACACTCACAAATGAACTAAACCAGAATGCAAAGAGTTAGTGGCACTGAATCCAGAGGGTGAAGAATGAGTGGAGATGGACAGGCAGTATAGGAGCTGGTACTGCAGTTTGTCACTTTATTTTGGATCAAATCCAAACCTAGAAGAGATGTATTCTGCAATTATGAAATGGATGTGGTCGAAATAACACAAGAACAGCTGGTCTCATTAAAATGAGTTACAGATAGCAGAAATCTTGCAATAACAATCTCACAAAATTCGGTAGAAAAACAACATCGTCTGCCTAATCATTCACTGTGGGTACATTCCTACAGATGTGGGGAAAACAACTTCTGCTCTCTCGTATCTAATTTCCAATTTGCTACTCCAGTAATATTTGCTGTGTATGAAACGTCTTGGCTTTTCTTCCTTAATTTAGACTTGCTCCACAATTATAATCAAATGCAAGAAACAATTACGCAATATTTTCATTCTGTTTCCACAGTGTTTTCTGGGATGTGTATTATTATACTATGATACCTTGTAAAGATTATACTATAAGAATGCAAGCCAGTACCTTGCACTGAATCTGATGAAGTAGAAGAAATACACCAAAATACCACCTTATTGAGGCAACCGCCAATACGAGGGTATCCATGGAGAAATTCCAAATAACGGCCCAGTAACACCTCAACCCAGCAGCCTTACAGCTCATCTCTTCCTTCCAATTTCTACATAAGTTGCTATAAAACACAAAGCTACGCAGTGTTTTAGTCATGAAAATAGCCACATCTTTTAATTCATTTCTAAACATAAAAGATCTGCACAGTTGCAGGATGTTCTTTTAAAAGTGTATTGCATTGTTATATGACTGACATTGGAATCAATATAAGAAATATGATGCATATGATTTCCCTAGAAAAATGTAACTTAATTACAAATATATCTGATTATCACAATTACATTCATTTCTGTTCATGAATATGGATAATACTGTATACTTAATAAACCTAGGATTATTCTAATATGTAAATATATAAAATACTATAAGCCATATAGAAATATTATAAGCAATTTCTACTAACAAATCTGTTTGAGCATGCCATCTGCTAAGTGCAGTAGATCTATCATAAATAATGGTAAGACAGTGTAT